AAAAAATTATAAGTCTATTGTAGTATTTTGGTTATTTTTAATAAATAGTGTACTAATAAAAATAATATAAAAAAACTCGAAAGGAAGAAGGAACACAAGACACAAATTGTGAGTCTGCATATAATCTCATTGAGAGAGCAGTGTACTGAGAGCACGCAAGAAAAATTGTGCGTGAACAGTGCATATTTAAGAGATCCTGAGAATTTGTGCGCGAGCAGCGTATGTGAGAGCTCGCAAGCAGTTTTGTCCACAAACAGAGGAAATCGGTGCACAAACATTATATAAGCTGTTCATCATGCTCACTTTGTGCAGGACAGTTTTGTGTTGTAAACCACTTGAATGTAAAGTAAATCCAATAATGGTAACAAGAAAATAAACAAAATCTGCAGTTTGTCATGGCATTGGAGTTTACATAACGGCCTGTTGTGTGAATATAGCCAAGCCATTCACAGATATTGCCAGATAATCACATTACCTCTACCATACTTTTAACAGATTATTTGTGATTCTGGCTGTCATCCTTTCTTGCATTGTCTTGAGCCTTCACATTGCCAATTATGTACTTTATTATTAGTAGCCTGGAGAGGTCACAGTCATTCTGCTACATCAAATCACTTTCTACTGGATGTAAAATGCACATTATAAAACATTATAAAATTTTATAATGTTAAGTTCTAATTCTGTAGTTATTTTGGTGAAGGTAACTAAAAAGTAATAAAAGAGTAATGTAACATACTACAATTCTGAGACAGTAATATTGTAATGTAAGGGATTACTTTTAAATAACAGTAATAAGTAATCTGTAATGTATTATAGTTTGGAAGTAACTTGCACAACATGCTATACATACACACACGACACTCATGTTAGGGTCTGGGATAGAACCAAGGTCTCTGGTGTGAAAGGTGAGTGACGTTACCACTGAGCTACTGGGAGTTGATGAACCCAAAGACCGCATACAAATATATACATTATACAAATACACAGATGACACATTCTATACATATACACACTCATGAAAACCTCCTTATATAAACACACATGAAACAATCCATACATATTCACATATACACATATGTTAGATTATATACTCCAAACATATGCACAGATGATACATTTCTATAGATAGACACAGTCCATACATATGCACAGATGATACATTCTATACATATATGCAAACTCATAATACACTCCTTACATATACACACTTGATACATTCCATAGATATAAACACATGACACTCATGTTAGGGTCTAAATGGTGTGAAAGGTGAGTGACGTTACCACTGAGCTACTGGGAGTCTGATGAACCCATAAAACCTGAAAAGACCTCATATATGCACACATGACACACTCCATACATATACACAGTCTATACACATGCACACATGACACTCATGTTAGGGTTGGTGGGAAAGGTTAGTGACGTTACCACTGAGCTACTGGGAGTCTGATGAACCCATACAATGGAAGGACCTGATACACTCCAAACATATTCACACATGACATACTCTATATATATGCACATAAACACATGTTACACTCCATGCATATACACGCACTCTATACATTTACACACATGATACACTATACATATACAAGCTCTATGCATATACACACACGACACACTCTATATATATACACACATGACACACTCTATACATATACAGATTTGCATTTGAAAGATGTTAAACTTCCTACTTAATAGAAAATCTTCATTTAACGGCTTTCTAAAATTGTATAAATATGGACTAGAGGCCATTACATTCTATTATTTATTTAATTATTTACATTTCAGTGTCTAACATTTTACTATTATATTTGCAGTTTCGAGAGGATTTGATTTTACAAATAAAAATCATTGCTTTAAATCTGCATATAAGTTTATGAACAATTTGTACGAAGAGGAAAATGATTAGCCCTTGTGTGAAAATTAAATTCCTTCTCTATTATTTTCCAAGTAGTGATGTTTAACAAAGCAAGGAAGTTTTACCTATTATAGTCTATATATATATATATACATATATATATATATATATATATATATATATATATATATATATATATATATATATATAATAGAGCACCCGGAGGAAACCCACGCAAATGCAGGGAGAACATGCAAACTCCACACAGAAACACCAACTGAGCCGAGGTTTAAACCAGCGACCCAGCGACCTTCTTGCTGTGAGGCGACAACACTACCTACTGCAGGGGTTCCCAAACTTTTCAGCTCGCGACCCCCAAAATAACAATGCCAGTGACTCGCGACCCTCAATATCCTCTGAGGTGGTTATAAACACAGAAACCTTGCATGCAATGGCGCACACACACACACCAATAGACCCAAGTCTATTCTTCGTTTAATTTTTTTAATGTATATCAATGCTGTAAATGTGCCAGAAAGATTAACCTGGTATTATAAAATCAATCTGCTGCATCTGACACTATTGCTGTGTCTTTAAAATAATGCAATTACCTTAAGGGTCACAATCCAATAGAACAAGTAACTAAAAGCTACTATAGTAACTATATACAGCAGTCTATAATACCTCTAAACAACAATTTTTTAGTAGGTTATGGATAAAATATGGTAATTCTTTTGGTTTAAGAAAAATAAATCGATTTTTAGAAATCACCAGGCGAACCCCCTTCATTGTCCTGCGACCCCTAGGGGCGGTCCCGACCCCCACTTTGAGAACCTCTCACCTACTGCACCACTGCATTGCCCTGGCAAATTATTGTTATTTTTATTGCCTGACAAACCACAGTTGTCTATGACTTGCCAAATTAACCTAATTAACATAGCCTTTAGATTGCATTTTTGAATAAAGTAAAGAAATTACATATTGAAACTATTGTTTAAAAATTGTGTTTAAAAAACTTCCCTCCAATAAACCAAACTTGTGAAATATTTTTTAAAGAATTGCAGTTTTACTGGATGTTTTTTTTGTTGCCTTTATCTGTGTGTATGTTTGTGCATGTACTGGTTTTGGTGGTTTACAAGGACAGAAATTTTTATACTGACGTGTGTAAAACTAGGTAATACAACATTGAGGGGGTTTATGTGCAAATACAACATTGAGGTGGTTTATGTAAAAATCATACTTAACTCTTTTCACATGCAAAAATTACCACTGGTTTCCTTTGAGGGTTGTGTTTAGGGGCAGGGGTGAGGTAAGGCCATAAGCGGTTTATACTGTTTAAAATACATTTATGCCCATGGAGCGTCCTTGTAAACCATCACAACCATTGTGTGTGTGTGTGTGTTGGGGTACATTTCAAGAATAGAGTGAGACAAAAAATTAAATCTTTTCTTTCTGTAGAATACACTTCAAATTTATTTATATACCACATTTCATACACAAAATGTTATATTTTCTATATTTGTCATTCTTAAAACTTTAGAAGAAAGGTAATTTAAGGTGATTTTAACAATGTATTCTCGTGATGGCTGGTTTAACTTGTTCTCAGCAAACCGGTCGAACCAGATTTCGCCACGATATGATAATTTTATTAGGTTTCGTCCCCTTTCTCCTCATTCAAGTCCAGTTTACCAGCACTTAGAGTATTAGCCCAGAATCAGTTGTCAAACAGTCATTTCAGTTAAGGGTTGATACTATGCCAGTCAGTCATAAAAGGCAGTAAGTTTATCTTGCCTACTGTTTGTGTTCTTGTGCTCCGGACTCGTCCGAAAGATAGCCTTCCAGTTTTGCAAATGCCACAGCACAGATTCTTGACTCCAGTCGAGTGTGAGAACTAACTAATAACATCAGGATTTTTGTTAACTTCAGAGGGAGAGTCAGGCACATTAAAGTAAGTAACTTTAAGTAACGTATGGATTAGTATTCGGCCTACCTACGGGAGATGCAAATCAAAGGATTCAGTTGTTTTTGGTGGAAATGGTTTGATCGGTTCTTGAAGAATCCTTAAATAGAACGACTTGCTCGCGAACGGGCCTTCATGAGAAGGCCTTTACAAAACCACACTGTCCCGATGTGTTCGTTGAAAAAAGATTTAAACCCAACTTAAGTCTGAGTGCCAATCCATTAAAAGACATCTAACTCGCCATTTTTTTTTATTTTTTATAAATTTGCTGTAAATCTTTGGTTCAGACTGGATTTTAAATTGTAGCAAATATCTCCGGGTGTTCAATTTTAATTCAAGTGTTCACACATGAATTAAATTTTAGTTATTTATTTTTAATAAAAAGTTGCAACTTAAAAACCTCATGTAAAAGTAAATGTAATTTATTATATATTTGCATGGATGATGGAGATTGCAAATTTCAAATATAGAAATACATAACATTTGTTGCCATTTAGCATGTTTCAAAATGTAATTCTGCTACTATTAATCAGTTTTTGCACTCACAATGCTCTGCTCTGTGTTTTGTCTGCAGTATGGCTGAATAAAAACTGACTAAGAACAATACAACTGAGATTTTTAGTGTGAGAATTGAGCTTTTTTATATCAAGTTAGGTAATTCATTTATCATTTAATTTATTATTTTATGGTCAAATATCTAGTGTCTTGTTCCATATTAAATAGCAGCTATTTTGCCTTAAACAGCAGCTATTTATATATATATATATATATATATATATATATATATATATATAAAATCAAATAACTTAACAAGACCAGAGGAATAAAAGTCTAGATTTGGAATTTTCTTAATGAATATGTTGATATAGAAAATGCTTAAAGATTATTTTAATTGTTAAATATTATAGTTGTCAATCAGGAACACAATTCACTTTCAGAAATAACAAACAACATATTGCTGTGACAACAAGCCCTGATGAGCAGTAACAGATTACAAAGATAAAACAGTATTGAAAGATACAATACAGGATACACACATGAGTAGTGTAACATCTATAAGACTTCAGAATTTTCGAATACAAACAGAATTTAAACTGACACACCCAGCGTATCTCTTTCTCTCTCTGTAGAGCGCTGTTCAGGAAGCACTGATGCTTCTGCTTTTTTCTGTGGTTTCCTCCTGCTCTAAACTCTGCTTCTCTCTCATTTCTGTAACACACACAGTGTGCTCGGACAGGTGCCTGCATGTAAATTCAACAACATCTGTCTTTTCTGTTGAAGGAAACTTCTGTAGGCCTGATCTAATGGCTGGACGTTCAAAAAGCTGAGAAAGATGCTTCAACTTCTGAAGGAGAGGCAGACAACTGGAGAAAAGGCCTGTTAAATTTATAACTAACATGCAGCCGCACTGAAAGCCTGGACGAGATAAACTTTTACAGGACTTCTTTTTTTTTAATAGAGAGAAAGCATAAAGAAGCAATTTTTAAATTAATTTTGGAGTAAATGTGTGTCTACGATTGATCTTCCATTTTGAAATCGTTGCATCTGAAAATACTTTTAGGAATCTGATTGTTGTGAATTCTCCTCTTCATCAAGAGCTTCTTTGCAATCACATGCACCGTCTCATCCTAAACCCTGCATGTGTTTAAAAGGTGTCCATATTGACTGACAGCATGTCCTAAAGAAGCCCATGTGCTTTCACTCACGCTGGATTGGACAGACTTTAAAAATTGAGCAAAGAGTTTGGCTTTCGGGAATCATCAGCAGTTTGTCTCAAAGCAGTCTAATATCCTGGAATTCCTAAGGAAAGCAGTGATGGGTAACGCAGCCGGCGGGTTGGAGCAGGCGGAGGGGCAGGAGGCCAAAGGCTCAACGGGAGGCCTAAACCCTGCTCCCTCCATCCTTAAAAAGAAATGTGCCCCTCCAAAGCTACCCATGCCCCCAGAGGAAGAGCTAGAAGAACGCTTCAATGTGGTTTTGGTGAGTACTTTATACAGCACACCGACATGTAAACATTAGGCATGCAGCGATACAAAAGCCGCTTATTCTGTCACTTCCTGTTATGTTAGAAACTTCTGTTTTGCGAGTATTACATTTACTGTCTTGCAATTTTCTCAAACCTGTAAGAGTAAGGAGAAACTTTTTGTTTTTTGGACAATGGACAAATCAGGCATAACGTGAGGATTTCAAAACAAGTGCAAGATTTCATGTGAAATACAAAATGAAGTAATGCTCAGAAAGACACTTGTGACTTCATGCAGATACTGTCACATTAGTTCCACATGGGCTTTTAGTACAGGAACCGGCAATGGCAGCATGACAAATTAGGGAACTTCTTAAGAGAAGTCATAAGACAAAACACGGTCCTATAATCTTAGTGTTGAGAGACCTTTGACAATGTGATGATGTCTAATTAGGGTCTAAAGTCATCAGTGATGCTTAGAGTCATTCTTTTGTTTTCACCATCTCTTTTCTTGGGCAGGTTTGGACCTACAGAGTTAAAAATGTCTGTTAATTAACAGTGTCCGTATTTTGTGATTTACAAATGTTTTCTATTTATTTATGGATGTGAATTGCATAATGGGATGTTGATCTCTGCTCAGTCGACTTTCGATGTTAAAAATTCAACTCTACAGAATAACAAAATGACTTTTATTGACATTTTAGGAGTTTGAAATAATATAAGAAATAATATAGAGAGAAAGCTTTTATTACAAGGTTTTTGTATAGTAATATACACCACCAATCCAGAAAATAGATCACTTTAAACTATTAAAAATTAAATAAAAGTTTTTTTTTTTTTACTTTTTAAGGTTAAAGGTTGTTGAAAGTAAGATTAAGGTCCCAAAACACAATTCAAAAGCATAAATAAATGGTGAGAAATAAAAACATGAATTACAAAATACAGAAAACTGCTAATTAAAGAATTTTTTTACTGTTACATTTATGTTAAGTGCTACAACTACTATTTATTAGTATTGAAATTTATTATTTAATATGTTATTTATGTTGTACTTATATTTAAAATTGGCTGTATGTAGAAACATCTGTATTTAATTTCTGTAGTGACATCAATAAATACACAGTTCACCCTTCTCCTTCACCTCAAGAAACACTTAAACCACTAAACCTGTCTAAAACCTAAACCATATCCTACCAGATAAAGTGTTCTGTAATACAACATCAACATAAGCACACTATATATACACACAGTTAATCTTTAAGTAGTTAAATTTGTTAGCAGTTAAAGGCATCAATGTACAGTTGGACCACTTCATCATTTACTCACTCTTATATCATTCCAAACCTGCATCACTTTTTCTTCAGTGGAATATAACAGCAGGTATTTTAAAGGATTTTGATACCAAACCATTAATGAGACTTCAACTTGTATAACAACACATACGTCAAGCCTGATTTTTTAACTACCATAAAAAATGTCTCTATTACTACAATGTAAACTTTAAATCATTCAATATATTACCGGCATTGACCTTAAAAATATGTAAAAAAAAATATCTTTAATATTTTTTTTTATTAATTATTTTTTATAAATACTCAGTTGTCTCAATTTAGACCCCTAAACCCATCCAAAAACCTACCAATAACACCTGTTTCTAATCTTACTTCAACCCACATTGCTGGTATAAAAGAATACCTACTCCTAAACCTAAGCATAAACCATGTAACATAAAGTGCTATATAAGATGAACACAGTACATACATTGTTTCTAAAAACGTATGTTATTACTTAGTAGTTATAAAGAAGTGGAACCATGGCTTCTAATAAATGTGACTTTATATTTCCCGCTTGCTAATGAATATGTATGATGTCCTGTTGTTAAATTGCTATCTCAGAGTCTAATTTCCGTAGTAAGCTAAAAACAGCCTTCCTTGTAACAAATGGCCATTTGATCCTTCTGAAAATACTTGATCTGAATGCATTTGTGTTTATGAATGCTCAGGAGGGCCCAGCTAGACTTTTCCAGGATCTGTTGATGAAGGGAATCCCTTAAATCCCTCTGTGCACTGCTGAGGGTATGGACAAAACAAGGGATAATCTCGAATATTTTGTCCTGGAACAATGATTAGAAAGCGATTATGCCAATGTATCATCATCAAATATGGGGATTTCCTTTTTACAGGCTACTTTCACAAACCCTGTGAACATTTAATGGATTAATATTGAGAGATACCAGTTTATCAGCTTAATCTTGTGAACACTTTTTTGTTTAGTACCAATAGACCACATTTAGTACCCCACCCAAACCCTGCCCAACACTCTTTCTCTCTCTCTCTCTCTCTCTCTCTCTCTGTTCTTCAGTTAAGCACTCACCGTGTTTCTAAATGCACTTTCGTTCTTTGTGCAAAAAAAAAAAAAAAACATGCACTTAGCGGAAACACCCAAGAACACAGCGCTGCTACGCTAAAGTTACACCCCTAAGTTTTACCAACCACACCTTCTAATTTGACTGAGAGGTGTCATCACAATTAAGCTGTTAAAATATTAAAAACATAAATCTAATTATGAATATCTGCTGAAAATGTGTTCTACAAGACATGCTAAACATATTTTCAGGAAGTTACTTTGCGTCAGACATCAAACATAGCAGCTTATGAACTTAAGAAGAAAAACATAAACTGTAGGGTAAATGAATTGACAAGATATGTGCTTAAATTAATATGTATATATTAATATGCAATGTCATTCTTAAGCTAGGCTATGATGGCTTTCTTTATTTTGTAAGACAGTAGTGGACTCACTGAGAAGTTTTTCAGCCATAAAGGATTGAATTTAGGTAAATAGTGACCTAAATTACTACAGGTTTTCAGTTATGGTTGAGCTGTGCCTTTTAAAGTATGAAGATAGTTAAAATGAGCAGTCCTTGCATCATAAGGTATTTTGTAACATGGTAACTGTCACATTTCCTTCCCTGTGTCTGCTCGATGTTCATCATATGCTGCATCATATGTTAGACGCTATGTATAATAGGCAACTCAGATGTTATTTAAAATTGAGAATCAGTTTTACAAGCTGTGAAAAACAATAAGTAATGTTAGCTTTATATCTGCTTTATATCTGATACTAAAACTTTTCCATGTTATTACTGCAGGATTCAAATGTTTCCATCAACATCACACAACAGTTAGTATAACACTGATGTCAAACTGTACAATGTGATGTACAACTTGTGTTATAAACCCTGCCTGCAGTAAATAAATGTTTTTGATATCCATAGATTATTTCATAGATTTATGAAATAAATTCATTTTGGGATGGACATGCATGCTTAATAGAATTAGACACCATATTTATGAATGTCATCTATTCCTGATCTGACCCTTGTGCATCCTTATGGACATTTTTGTCTATTTCATTTAATTTTTGTGATGATTTCGGGTGTTTTAATGCTGATATACGTTTGGCTAGTTTTGAAATCTAGTTAAACTCAGGACCTTGAAGACAAAGCTTCAATTGGTTTCAATGGGTTTTCCAGTGTTATTTCAGTGAAACTTCATACATGGTTTGTAGCAGGCTTTTGTTTTGTTGACAAGGCAAGGCCTCAAAATATTTACTATTAAAAAAAAAAAAACATTATTTGATGTTAATATTTTGGCATCTTTTTTCAGGTTTGGTTAGTGGAGTAAATAATATTTTGAGTATAATAATACTTTGAACACTGCAGGCTAAATGAATTAAAATTCTGTAATCATAATTATGTGTGTGTGTTGGTTTGGGTTTATTTTCAATGTGATTCTCGACAAAATAATCTGATCACAAATCATGGAAGACTATAATAATATAAAATATTTATAATATTTTTCCATTAAGCCTCAATAAGACTCAATATAGAGCCTAAAATAGTTAGAAAGATGAGATATTTTATGAGAGAACGTAGAAGGTAAAATAGGATGAAGAATGGTAAAATCAAAATACATACATAGTAAATTTGAACACTTAAGGTGTCAAGTGTACAATCCTCACAGTTTCATCTGTATGTAGTTATGCAAAAAAAAGGGCTAAGAAATTGGATTAGCAATAATTCAACAAGTCTGTATAATCAGATTTTACTTTACTTTTGTATTTTTTAGATTGTATTTTACTGTATTATTTTGGTAGTTTATTACCATATTCCCATAATATCTTTGAGTCCTTAATTTAATTGACTTATTTCTGAACTTTTTTCCTTTTCTAATGTTTAATTATTTTGTATATTCAATGTAAAAACTCTTTCAAAATTTACATTAAAAAACAATGGTAATGTATGTAAACAAAATTTTATTTAAAGGGTTATAAAATCATATGATAATACTTTAAATGAATGTTCCTTCAGTTAATGTTAGTTAACATATTTACTAACATTAAACCAAGTAAAACCCAGTACAGCATTTATTAACCATAGTTCAACATTACTTAATGCTTTAGTAAAATCCAAAGTTGTGCTTGTTAACATTACTTAATGCACCATGACTTAACATGAAATAACTCGAACGAACATTAATTAAGTTAAATAACATGAACTAACCGTAACAAAGATGCATAAATACCATAACAAATGTATTACTAATAGTTTGTTCATGTTAGCAAATACATTACCTAACATTAACTAATGGACCATTAATCTAAAGTGTTACCATTTTTAAAATTATTAATGTTTTGGTAGTTAGAGTCAGGACGGATACGGGTAAAGTGTGAATAAATATTAAAATATGATCATTGTTATGGGATTCTGACACTGGCATTTCTGTTCGTTATGGACCTATGAGTATTTGTTTTAATTTGATGCAGAAAAGGTTTAATATACTGATATATTTTTCAAAGCTTTAAAATTGTAAAAAGGACGCACAAGTAATTTTTAGAATATAAAACTTTTTTTGCTGTTGTCATTGTTATAAACGCTTTAATCTTGACTAGTAAATTAGCAAACAGAGAGAGTTGATTGAACTGAATTTTAGAACCACTAGTTTAAATATCAACAATATATCCACAAGCATTTTACACTGCAGTCATTTCAATGCATGTGTCTGCCAGCATGTTTGTTTAGTCACAAACCTGTCATTTTCCCTCTCAGAGCACCATGAATCTCCCTCCTGATAAGATGAAGCTTCTGAGCCAGTATGACAATGAGAAGAAATGGGAGCTGGTCTGTGATCAGGTGAGATACTGCTACTATCACATACGCTGATCAACTTCAACATTTTTCAAGTTGCGTTTTTAAGTACTGGCAGCAAAATAGAACTGAGAGTGTGCCAGGGTACTGAACGCTCTCCCACTAACTTCTCATTAGCCAGAGATTACTCATATTGAAATATGTAATGAATGCTCATGTTGAAATACATAGGTCATTCCATTTTTGAGTAGTTTTCTTTGAACAATTGCATGGCTTGGGTGTAGGCGTGCCCTCTGAGAGGAAGTTGTGTGGCAGACTACATTTAGACATGCTATAAGCTTAAATGAGCTAAAGCTACACTGTGACACAAATACAAATAGCAAATTCATACGTTACAGGCATCTTGATCTTGCACTTTTGCTGTTGTAATATTTTAGATTGTTATGAGGGTATAATGTGTAATACGCAGGCATGATGTATTTATATAATCACATAAAAGCAAAAAATAAAAACAGCATTTGATTTATATTATTAAGTCACACAGTAAAATGAGTGTCTGTAGTCTCTATACTGAAAAATGCTTCTTGTGTAAATGATCTAACCATTTTTTGTTGTTGTTCTATGATGTGTGAATACAATTAAAAGACTTATTTGTTGAAACCTTTGCACTTTGTAGTTTAGGAAAAACAGTGATTGATAGAAAAAAAATCCTCCAATTGACTCCAAATATTCCAATTGACTTTACATTGAATGACACAATCATATCTAGGAGTTTTAATAAGAAGGTGTATTTAACTGTATTTTTCAGTGCACATTTGTATTACCCTTTATTGTCGCTAAAAATAAATACAAATATGGGTAGCACTGTACTTGAAGACTGTCATTAAACCTTTATATTCATTAAGATGTGAATGAGATTTTATACATGCTAATAACAACTGCCATTAAGTTTCATTTGCGTAGTTATGACTAAGGCCAGACAGAATCTGTGGATACTTTTGATATTTCTGCGCAGAATATTGTAACAAATCTGCAGATTTATGCTGAATGATTTTGGGTACATTATAACCAAAAACCTAACATGTTAAATAAAAACATAATACATTTTAAACTTTTATTTAATGTTGACAATGCAAATCCTATTAGATCCATTTATTTGGTAAACAAAGCAAGTCTCTAATGTACTGCATCAACCATATATCTACTAAATGACAGAAATAATCACTTTACAATAACATAAATGGGGCCCTTGTTCTTTTTCTGGTGCTGTTTTTATGTTTGTGTGCGATCAGTTTTTCATTTGTACTTATACAAGTAAAACAAATATATTAACTTAATTCCTTAATGTTGTCCCAACACAAATCAATTGTGTGGAATCCAGCATTTTTAACAGTGTAAATCCAATATTAGAAATTTAGATAATAATCACATGAACATTTTCATATTAGTCAGTAATATTACTGAAATTAATTTAAAAACTGAATAAATATAAGTTTACACACATTTACACACAACTAAATATATAGACTCAATGATGGGCTGAAAATCTGTAGATTTCTGCACGCTCAGATTCTGTGTGCCTTGTTCTGACATTTTAAATGCAAACTGGTCATTGTTTGCTATGACAACTTGATTTAAACAAATCACAACCTGTTTTTTTCATTGTCATGACGGCTTGACATCATCAAGACAACAAAACCTGTCATAAATCTGTCATAAACATGACTGTCATGAATGAAGCCATTATAAATATATCATGGATTTGATAACAGCCTCATTATAATATCAAGAGTTCAGATGCAAAAACCTCTAAATTCTATCTGAAATCTTCTCCTAAAATGAGCATTTTTTTCAGCCTCTTTTGTTTATGTTCACTTATTTTACTTTAAAGGACGTTATTCATCACTGTAGAAGTAAAACTACTGAGCCTACACACAGGAGTCGAAGAAAAAAGCTAAATTTAAAAGAAAATATCAAAAAGCATTTAGAGGTTTGTGCATCTAAACTCAACTACTATGCTACAAGCTGAATTTGTCATTAAAATGTTGATAAATACTAACAACAGTTAAAAATAAGTATTTTTTTATTAATTATTAATTAGAGTAATGACACTTTTATTGAGACATGTTATGACAAATACCGTTTGTTCCACTGAAAACAGGATCAGAAAAATATTAATGACACAATTATAATATCTCATGACAGTCATGTTTATGATAGACTTATGACAAGTTAAGTTGTCTTGGTAAAGTCAAGACTGGTTGTGATGTATTTATTTATGTCAAGTTTTCATAACAAGCAATGTCATTTTTGCATTTAACATAAGAAAACAGAGCAAATGACACTTAATAACAGTTGTCATGAACATGCATAAAACACGTTCAAGACGTGGCATGATAATTACGGTTTCATAACAGTCTAATGAAAACCCCTTCAAGCAAAGTGTTGCTCATAATTTTATTTATGTTTAATGAGAGTAAAGGATAACACAAATGTGTGGTTAAACAAGATGATGTAAATGAAGAATGGGAGATTGAGAGGGAAAAAAGAAGACAGCGGTATGAGGTCAGGCACAATGCGGTGAAACTGTTCGTCTACGCACTTCCTGTGTTAATATTTTTGTCTCTATGACAACGGTGGGATGCAAATTTGTAGCTGTGCATGCAGAGAACAAGTTATTATGGCAACGCATGCATGCAGCTAAACTGTTTTGCTTACCTTGTACATCCTGAAGGCTTCAGTATACACCACCTTCAGTGACAACTGGAAAGTTAGGCTGTTAGTTCAATATCAGATAATTAAAAATGAATCACCAGATGCCAGATTTACAGCAATATTTGTAAGGAATCTGAAGTAAAGTTACATTGCATTTACATGCCAACTAATTCTCATTAGATTATATATCAGTAGACTGTTAGGTTAGGGTTAGGTTTAGTGTAAGTTGACATGTACTTGCAAAGTTTCTTATAGTCAGTTAAATGTCTGATGAAGAAGCAGTATCAACAGATATTAAGCAGATAATCTACTAATACTTAAATGGACAATCAAAATAAAGTGTTACCTCTAATTTCATAACTGTTTTACAGATTTTTACAGATGCTAGGTCACTTCTCAATACTCAAGTTACTTAAGCAAAACTCTTCACACAATTCTCCTGGGCGACTTTCAGCTTGGCAAAACAGCTTATTTCATATTCAAAATGCACTACAACTACCAAAACACAGTTTGCACGTAATTTCAAAATACAAAAATTTGTATACACAACATCCACTAATACAGATATAATTTTTAGATTTGAAATATGTTTTAATAAAATACTGCTGTTGAATTTTGCTGTCTTATTTAGTTTTGCAATATGTTATTGTTTTAATCATAAGTTTAGCAGTTTTGAAAACAGTATGTAAGCGTGTGCAAAATGTCCTGTACGTACAAAGATTTTTGGCAGTTGTTGTGTCTGAGTGAGAAATAACTTCATGAAATTTGAGAGATGTAGTCATTGATGCACTTTGTGACAAAACAATAATTGATCCTCTGTTTAACCCACATATACTTCTGTTGTGAAAAAGTGACCTAAGTATTGATAAACGTTTCCTCATGTTTGTAAAAAAACTGCTTTAGAACATATAACTCATGAAATATGTTTAAACCTGCTTTTACTTCTGTTGTAATCGAATGACTAAGACTAAACATACTGCAAATTGTAGGTTGCTCTCTAATTTTAATCTCCACTGTACACAACATCTTTTAGTTGTGTATCTTTTATCTTTTAGTATCTTTTTAGTATATTTAAGTCAGATACCAGTCCATGAATAGTTTCTGTTTCTCTATGGTCTAATAGGAGCGATTTCAGGTGAAAAACCCTCCTTCAGCTTACCTCACTAAAATCAAGAGCTTCTACCAGGACCAGGGTGGAGTCACACGCAGGGTCAGTGCCATCTCTCTTTGTCCTTTCTTTTCCTCTCCACTTTCCTACACTGTCATTCTCTTTTACCTCTTGTCATTTCTGACACCCACCTGTGGAAAAATCCCAGATGAAAGCTTTTGTTGAGAGGTGAATGATTGTCTGTCAGTCGGTTAGCGGTTAGCTTACTGTATCTCTGCGGGTCTTTCTCCACAGTTCAAGAAACGTGTGCAGGAGTCAACTCAAGTCCTGAGAGAGCTGGAAATATCGCTGAGAACCAATCACATTGGGTTAGTGGTTGCTTTATTTTGTTGTGTATTGCAATGATAGACTTCACTGCTATTTCTGACCAGTGTTGAGTTAGTTATGATTACTATTTACACCATTGCATCATTTTATACTAGGTCTGAAAAGTTATTAAAGGGCTAGTTCACTCAAAATTAAATGTCTGTTATTAATTACTCACCCTCATGTTGTTCCAATCCTCTGAGAACTCCATCATCTTACATTGACAGTAATGGTCCAGAAATAGTCCAGAAAAAGAACAAAAGACATTGTAAATCATTCAATGTGACCTGAAATGTAATAATAGGAAGCTTAAGAAGAACACTTTTGAGTGCCAAAACAAACAAACAAACAAACAACACCTGGGGGGTATTCCAGAAAGCTGGGTTAACTTACCATCTGCTAAAACCTAAACTCTCGGTTGATTTACCCAAAACCTGCTTACCGCGAGTATGTTGGTTCCAAAACAGGTGACAAGAGTTAGTTAAATCAACCTCCTGAAGATAACCGCGGGTTAATGCACGTGCACGGCACACACCTGAAGGCATTTTCAGTAGATCGCCGAATTCACGAGTCACCATAGAAAGTCACGGTGAGAAAAAAAGGGCAACGCACTTTACAGAGGCGAAGCTGGAGGTTTTAAACACAGAGATTACACATCTGCTTCAACGAAGGAAAGAAATATAGAATAAGAAATAGATAAGAAAATAAAAATAAATAATAAGAAAATTTATTAGTTCATTAAATTACACATGCCACCCTCCATTTTATTGTAATGATAAATTAAACTGCTCTTTAACATCCTTTTTGAGTATGTTGTGTAACCATTCATGCATTTATTTTTCTTGCCATTAATTTCTTAAGGCCACAATATGTGTGTTGACTAATAAGGCTTATAGAAATTGTAATCTTTCTGGAGCTAGAACTCTGCCCAACGTCATTAAACACAGAAACATTATCATAAACGGTAATATTTAATTACTGGAGCTCTTTATTTAACACTCTAGAATATTCTTTCTGACATGCAGCTAATAGAAAGAGGCCTGTCTAACTGCTGTGTCCTATAATAAAGGCTTTTCAGTGGTTGAGTTTTTGACTTAAACCACACACTCTGTCACTGTTGTAAGTGATTGTTGTCAGATAGCTTTAGGTTCTTTTTATTTTGCATGCAGACAAAGTTCCTTCTGCCTCAACTAACAAGCAGTGTAAGAATTTTCTGCACTTTTCCATATTTGAATATTACTCTTGGATCACAAAATCTTTTATCTACATATTTTAATTCTAAAGTAGCTGTATAAGGTCCATCTTCAAAGATAAAGTCACATGAGCATCAACTTAAGGTGAGAAATGTATATGAAAAATATGTTACACGTTGAAAGGTGTGTGTATAAAGCAGTGTACAAAATCATTCATTTTATTTCAGGAAATGAAGAAATGAACAGACCAAACTATTTGATTAAACATAGTTTTTTTGACTAATTATATATTTTTAGCACTCTTCCATCTGTTTTGTCTGCTTGGGTCACTGAGATTTCCTCTGGGTCAGGCTGCAGGTAGGGTGTCATCGTATAAGGCAGAAAAGGGTATCTTTTGTCCTCCAGCAAACAATGTAGTGCCCAGTAATGATTCTATTTTATAATACAACTTTTTTACTATATTTGTGTTATACACTTGAATCATTACTTCCTGAAAATCAGCCATTTAGCCTCAACATAGTGATGAGGTGGGGTGTGTGATGAGCTGGTAAGTGGAAGCAGTAATGAGTTTAATAGTTGAAACACCAAAAGATTAAGGATAGAAAATTAAGTTGTACCTGCACATTTATACTTTGGACAAATTTTATATTATCAGTGTCCTTTAGTGACTGATGGAGCTTTAAAATCGGCTGCAATTAATGCACACAATAGCATTTAGAAACCCTCAAAAAATATTCTATTAAAAAATGTAGGTGTGTGTGCGTGAATGTATATATAAGAACAACGTCCTACATCTTAAATTAAAGATATGTTTTCCTACAAAAGACAAAGCTGCCACTTATAATATTATACAGAAAAATGTGAGGGTGCAGAAGGAGAGAAAAAACACAAGATCTGTAAGTGAGATTCAAACTCACTCTGTTGTGCGATCCGTTATTCTTTATCGACGCACTGTCCACTACGCTATTCCCGAGCTCTGAATCATCCGTGTAATGATACGCAGTAATGTATTACCAAGGAACTGTACAAAAGTGTAAAAAACAGTTCAGTGCCAGGCGTACTGTACAGGTGGTCCTACTGCCACATTGTACAGTTGCCTAAAATGCCCTGACGCGATTACAAAGAGCTGCACTGAATGTTTTTATGGTAAGCGCAGACCCGCGGTTTGTCACATTTGATTTCAAAAAGGTTTGTTAAATACATTAACATTATGAATTTGGTTATGAAAAAAACTATGCACTTATAACCCTCTCACAACGAAAAAACTTGTATCTGTGTGTCCACATCCATAATATTCTCATCAAAAGAGCACGCAATGCTCAGTAAACTCTCTGAAACAGACAAACTCTAAAATAGCAACTTATTCTCTGAAGATAACCTGCTCCGGAGCAGGTTATCTTCAGAGAGTAAGTTGCTATGGCTACTTAACATACCCAGAAGTTACCTCCGATTTTGGAACCAAAGTTGAGGTTATCCACCTACTTACTCTCAAACTTACCCGTGTATGTCACATAACCTGCTTTCTGGAACAGCCCCCTGTAGTTACAACTTCGTTTGTCTTTGTACTCACTTCCTGTCAGGTCATCAAGAAATTTGTTTTCTACAGGCAGTACAATGTTTTGCAATTAGGGTGTGTTTACTGAATCTCAAATTGTATTTTATTTTTTATATCAATGGAAGACATGTTTTTTTTTTTATGAAAGCAGTGTAGCAAGGCGCTGCGTGTGCACTTTATGCAAATTGCTTAGCACTCAGCATTTTTAGAGGCTCTGACAGTTGTAGAAGTCCTCATCGCTGAGTGGTTTTAGCAGTGCAACACGCAAGGGTCAGATTGCCCATAGTAAACATTCACTTTGATCTCACATAGGAGACACTGTTAAACAAAGTCATTCTTGCATTTTATTGTGCACAGGCCCAGATTGGCTAACCGGGAGAACCGGGAGAATTCCTGGTGGGACGGTCCGTTTTTTGGCTGTGAGGGCCGGTGTCCCTAGCTGCTTGCACTCTCAGCAGTTGCACGTTTTTCATTTATTTGTTTATTTGACCATAACCTCACTCTTTTCATTCATTATTGTGCCGCAGCTCCGCTCTTTTTTTATTTTCTCGCAGCCCCGTGAGCAAAATGCAGCCCGCAGGTTAATGATGATCATCATTAACCTGCGGGCTGCACCCCATTCCACCCAAAACAACGGCACCTTAGTGAATATTAATTATTTTTAATGAATATTACACCTCTTCAATGAAAATCAGACAATTCACTACATAAATACATCTGACATAACTCGATCAGAAATCTAAAAAAGGAGAAAAAGATTAGGGTATAAAAAGAGTAGACTTAAATAGCAGCAGATGACAGTACCATAATTAACAGCGCTATTGTGGTCTAGTGGTTAGCACGTTACATTTTGACGCCGCCGATCCGAGTTTGAACCTCACCAGAGAATAATGTATTTTTTTCATTTTCAATGTTAAGACATAAAATACTGTTTGGGTTACTTATGTAGGGTACATATTTTTTTGTGTGTGACGACCGTTACAAAGGACTGGATATCTATAAAGAATTAATGTTCTCATATTTATGAAAAACATTTGAAGTTCTAAAGCAGCTGTGTCCTTGAAAAGATGTGTTAGTGTCACTTGAAACTGAATTGGAAATAACATTATTTTAATATAGTCAGTTGTCGACTGAGGTGGGCCGGTCTAAGGCTTGAAACTCAAGAGCTAAAAAGGAGTCCCACTCCGGCCCTGATTGTGCACAAAAGTGTTCTTGGAGCTTCGCATTATTCTGCAAAAAATAAATAAATGAAATAATAATAATAACAACAATATTTACTCTGATTCTTGCATTCACAACAAATACTGTTGTTGACAAATTTTCTGCTCTTGACTAAATGTGTCTTTACTATGTGCAAACGTGTTGATAAATATAATCTTCTTTAGTTGAAAAATGTAATTATTCAGCAAAATACATGTGTATATATTTGTAAAAAAAAGAAAAAATATATATATATAATTTCTCAGCCTGTCTGAATTGATTTAAATAGAATTGTTAAATTTACTGCAAGAATTGAAGGCAAGTACAGTGTAATCGTAATATTAAAACAAAATTAGTTGTACAGTAGGCTGTACAGTTAGAATTAAGCTGACATACTTGCAAAGTTAGTCATAACCTGATGAAAGTGAGTTATACGTGTTTGCACAGGGGTGGGCAAACTCGGTCCAGGAGGGCCGGTATCCTGCACAGTTCAGCTCCAACACTAATTAAACACATCTGAACATGGTAATTAGTGTCTTTAAGATCTAGAAATCTATAAGCAGGTGTGTTTGATTAGAGTTGGAGCTAAACTGTGCACTGGCCCTCCAGGACAGAGTTTGCCCACCCCTGTGTTAGCAGATTAAGCAGAGTGTCTATTAATACTCTAATGACTTATAATAACTTTGGAACTAGGTGCCAACTAAACTCTCATTATTACTTTAAGTGGGTCACTGGAATACTTAATTCTGATTGGTCAGCAATCACATTCCACGGAATAAAAACTGGTAAAAGTTGACTGATTGGCCATCTGCTAACTGAGTAATAGTACAAGCCGTATAGGCTGCATCCAGCTGTTTTTATTTCTGCAAACTTACATTTAAAAAAAGAGTAAGTTAATTATTACAGCTCAGACAATGCTTCATGTTTCATTGTTTACTTTTGAGGCAAGTAGCCTTGTATTAAGCAGGATTACAAAACACATAAAGCCGGACAGGGACAGGCTTAGTAAGACTAAAAGAACCAACCAGCTGAAAAAAAAACAACCAGCTAGATATACTTTATCCCTTACATGCAGTCTTATTAGACTGTTTGGTTAGTAAAATAGGCTGACTTTTTTGCAAAGTTTGAAAAATTCCCTATTTCATGCTGTGTCTTTTATTGTTTAAACTGTAGGTGGGCCCAGGAGTTTCTGAATGAGGAAAACCAAGGCTTGGATGTCCTGGTGGACTACTTGTCATATTCTCAAAGTGACGTGCCGTATGTTTATGCTGTCATTTCCTATATAAACCATTAATGTCACCTAATATTGCATTAAGAGTTTGCATGTTCTCCTTGCATTTGCATGGGTTTCCTCCGGGTGCTCCGGTTTCCCCCACAGTCCAAAGACATGTGGTACAGGTGAATTGGGTAGGCTAAATTGTCCGTAGTGTATGAGTGTGTGTGAATGTGTGTGTGGATGTTTCCCAGAGATGGGTTGTGGCTGGAAGGGCATCCGCTGGATAAAAACTTGCTGGATAAGTTGGTGGTTCATTCCACTGTGATGACCCCAGATTAATAAAGGGACTAAACCGACAAGAAAATGAATGAATGAATGAATGTTTGCATTAAATGTGTCAGAAGATTTTATGACTAAAGAAAAGTTCACACTAAGAATGCTAACTAACTATTTGTTAACTGTCCACACCACATTCTGCTATACAAGAGTGTTCAGATCTGTCTTCTGCCACTTTAAAGATTCAAGCTCTTTATGGAAGAATTCATCATGATTGGTTGTCAGTGTTCACATTGTTCATCAATAGAATTCTGAACGTGATTCTACCAAAATTATCTATGCCATTATGGCTATAGGTGATGTTGACACTTCAAATTATATGTAAAGGGTTTTTAAACTACTTTATCATTGTGGTTATTGTTGTTAATGTGAACAATCCTTCCCACCATACTTTTTTTTTTTTAATGTTTAAAAGAAGTAATAGATGTCTAAAGATAGACGACTCGATTAAAACAAGGTGAAATTTGAGCAGTTAAAATCTTATAGACGTCTATTAGATGTCTATTGAACACATAATTACTTAGTCGTTTAAGTCTTTGATTCAGCCAAAAAGTGACTGGAAATCACTCACCACATTTATCATATAGCATATAAATAAGATCCCATGCTGATGTTATTCTCAGGTTTGAGGTGGAGTCTGTGGAAAATGGTGGCTCCATATCAGACAACAGGAGGATGTCAGAGAGATCGGTGGAGGATCTTGCCAAAAATGTCAACCATTCTGCCCCACACACGATGACCAGGGCAGCGCGTGCGCTCACTGTCCGGTCAGTCATCATTACAACAAAACATAGGGATTACAGGACTCAAATGAAAAACTGATATTAAACAGACGTGCATTTTCTCAAACTCAGTGTTGATCTTTTTCTTATTCTCTGCATTTCCTAATTAGAATAACGTCACTGGCACACAGCAGAAAAACTCTGCGAATTGCCCGACTGGCCACCCAGAGAGATGATGTTCACCTCTGCATTATGTGTCTACGTGCTATTATGAACTATCAGGTATCTCAAGACAGCTTCTCTTCTCAAAAGATAATTTTAAAACAACTTTGTCTGACTCATCTTTTTTTCCCAAACAGTCTGGGTTTAATTTAGTCATGACACACCCTAGATGTGTCAACGAAATCACACTTAGTCTCAACAACAAAAACCCCAGGTTAGTGTGCATGTGTTTTCCTTTTTGTGGTATTTGTTGGTTGTTTGTGGGTTTGCATCCGCTTATAGTACACTTCATCATGTTCTTCATAGGACTAAAGCTCTCGTCTTGGAGCTGTTGGCAGCAGTGTGTTTGGTTAGAGGAGGCCATGACATCATCATATCAGCTTTTGACAACTTTAAAGATGTAAGATGACTAGCATTTCACGTATGTGCATGCATTAAAACATTTAAGATGTACTCATATTTTTTTTCGTACCCGGTACCAGGTCCGTGAAATATCATTTACATCCAAATTCTTTTAAATTTAAAGGTCCTTACTGGCCCATTACCACCATAAGAGGTTCCGTTCTCTCATCAGTTGGAATAGAAAAGTGTTTGCACAGATTATGATAGACATTTTTCTTTTATCCTATGATTACTGACTAAATTATTTACAGCAACCAAGACCACACAGAATCTAAAAGTAACACTTTCAAATATGAGTTTACAAAAAAAGAGTGTTTTTTAGAGGGGGTTTTATAACACAGACAACATATACAATTATTTTAATAACTTTCAAAATGTGAAAAAAATGTGAATTTAAAGGGTTTTCTTTAAAATGATACCAAACTTTTTCATTTACACCTCTGCATGTGGATCTGGGAAGCTTTTGAATTTAAGTAGGCAAAATCCAGGCGGAAAGATCAAATTAGTACTTGACTTCAGGTAGATAAAAGACATATTAAGATAAATAATATCAAAATATCATTCATTTAAACTGTTGAAATATTTTGTTTTCATCTTGCACCTTCACTCAGTATATTAATGAAATAATCCATGTATTACCATTCAAAAGATGAGGGTTTAACATAGATTCTCGCAAATAAATCTTTTATCTTAATCAAGGATGCATTAATGCATTTTTGATATACATTATTCTTTCTGAACCTATTTGAAAATGTAATTTTAAATATTTTATTCGTGTGATGTAAAATGTAGGGATTATCAATGTTAAAACAGCTGCTCCCTATTTCATTTACACTCTTAAAAAGAACCAAAAAGTGGTTTTGGTTACACTTTCTTTTAAGGTGTCTTCCTTACTGTAACTATTCATTTAACTACCAAATAACAGTAAATAATTATACATATTTACTCTATAGTCATAATAAGTATGCAGGTTAGGTTTATTTACAAGTCATTAAGCATACTTTATTGTAGTTATTATAGTAATTACATGTAACATATATAAAAAGGCTGTGTTAAAATAAAGTGTTACTTGTGCTTTACAGTATGTGATGCCATAGAAGAAGCTTTTTTCAGTTCCTCAGAGAACCCTACAGTCAAATAACCTTTTCTAGTAAACATTTAGAGAATGATTGGTTTCTATAGATATTGAAGTTTGTTACCCATCAGTGGCAATAAAGCAACTTTTAAAATAACTATTATTATTGTGTTTTTTCCCAGTACTGGGTTGCAGCTGGAAGGGCATCCGCTGTGTAAAACATATGGTGGATAAGTTGGCAGTTCATTCCTCTGTGGCGACCCCTGATAAATACAGGGACTAAGCCGAAGGAAAATTAATGAATAATGTGTTGTCCTACCACTTTTTTTCCTTGGTATTTTTTGACGACTGAAAAATTCAAGCATTTGCTTGACAGAAACCACATGTTAAAAATCTTTTAACCAAGCAACTAATTTTGCCCTCATTGACTTAATTAAAATCTTTCTGACCTCAAAGTTTTGACCAGATGATACACAAATGATGCTACTAAAACCACACACAAATCTTCTATACTCAAGACTCACATAAACATTTCTGCAGCATACAATATTTTTCACATTCACATAACATTCACTTTCTTACAGGCTAGTGGAGAGAAGAACCGCTTTGAGAAGCTCATGGAGTACTTCATGCATGACGACAGCAACGTGGACTTCATGGTGAGTTCTGCCACTAATCTAATATGACAATAAGATGACAAATATCCTGCTTTTTAAAAATGTTAATTTGATCTTTCTCTTTACAGGTGGCTTGCATGCAGTTCATAAACATTGTGGTTCACTCAGTGGAGAACATGAACTTCCGTGTACATCTCCAATATCAGTTCTCTCAACTAGGACTTGACCAGTACTTAGAGGTCAGTCATGCGAACAGCAAATAAAACTAGTGTATTTAAAAATATATAAGCAAATGACATACAAGTTCATATTTGGATTTTACATATATACAACATTTGCAGTTGAAGTCAGAATTGTTAGCCCACTTTGACATTTTCTTTTTTAAATGTTTCCCGAAATATGTTTAACAGAGCAAGGACATTTTCTCAGTATGTCTGATAATATTTTTTCTTCTGGAGAAAGTCTTATTTGTTTTATTTCGACTAGATTAAAAGCAGTTTTTCATAAAAAAAAAAAAAAACATTTTAAGGTCAAAATTATTAGCCCCTCTAAGCTGTATATATTTTTTGATAGTCTACAGAACAAAACATTGTTATACAATAACTTGCCTAATTACCCTAACCTGCCTAGTTAACCTAATTAACCCGGTTAAGCCTTTAAATGTTACTTTAAGCTGGATAGAAGTGTCTTGGTAAATATTTAGTCAAATATTATTTACTGTCATCATGGCAAAGATAAAATAAATCAGTTATTAGAAATGAGTTGTTAAAACTATTATGTTTAGAAACGTGTTGAAAAAAATCTCCTCTCCGTTAAACAGAAAATGTGGAAAAAAAAAATAAACAGGGGGGCTAATAACTTGGGGACTTTAACTGTATACAGTATATGAACATAATCTAGAAATGTATGCTTTTATAAATATATTTTTTATATTTTTCAGTTACAAATACTTACAAATATATTAGCTATAATTGTATATTTTGTATGAGTTCACGTATGATTATAAAAGTATATCTATATGTAAAAATATATGCACATAGCCATTTTAAATATATTAAAAAATAAATGTTGCATATATGACTAATATTTTATATATCTAAAAATCCAAATATGAACTGTCATACACAGTTAAAGTCACAATTATTAGTCACCCTGTGATTTTTTTTTCTTTTTTAAACATGTGTTGTATTTTTTAACATGATTTTAGATGTTTTAAATGCAGTATGTATTTATGAATTTGCACAATGTCCTCATACAGTGCCACACAACTGTTTGTTTTGCATGTGTTTATGAACAGTCGCTTAAGGATATGGAAAGCGAGAAGCTGCAAGTGCAGATCCAGGCCTATTTGGATAACGTGTTTGATGTTGGAGCTCTGCTAGAGGATGCAGAGAATAAAGGAGATATAGTGGACCTTGTAGCAGATCTGCAGGAGAACAATGCACAGGTTAAATATGCTGTTCAAAATGCACATAATCATCCACTGCATGACATACTGTATGTGCTTCATAATGTAGACAATGTAGGCTGCACTGTCACTCAGAAGTCTTTAATGTATGTATTCTTGTGCTGTAGCTGACCGCCAGACTGCAGGAATGTGAGAATGGAGCACTGGACAAAATAGCAGAACTAGAGCAACAGCTATTGCAGGCAACTAAAGAATCAGCATTGCTGAAGGTACATTACTTTTGAAATGTGCACACTATCCATATTCCAAAATATCATTCAAGATTAGAAGTATTTAATAAAACATAGTTAGGGCCCAGATATCACTGTTTTCAATGGATATGTGTAGTATGGATCTGCGCATGTGTTTTTGTCTACACATATTATATTATATATATAATGCTGTCTGTGATTTCCTATTATGTGGCAAATAGTTCAGCAATATCTGTCCAATGCAGTATCAAAACACAGCAGTTGTAAAAACTTCCACACTTTTATTCATGTTATTAACAAACCATTAACTTAGACTTTTAGATCATTAACTACTAATTAGCTGCTTCTTAATAGTAAGGTAGTTGTTGGGTTGAGATATTGGGTAGGATTAGGGATTTAAAATAAGAAGATCATACTTCAAGAGTGCTAAAAAACAGGTAATATCTTTATAATTTGGCAGGTGATAAGACAGTAGTAAATGATGTGAATTGTTATTTGAGATATAGTGTTACCTATTTGGTCACATGTTACTTTAAAGTGCCCTTGTTTCAGTGTATTCATTTCACTACTGAGTAACAGTTATTTACATCTACTTACTATTGACCTTATTCTTCAATGCTGAAGTGCGCTCGTTTTTGCAACTGTTTTAGAACTTCCGATTCAGTCGCCAATGGGAGAAATGACTAGGAATAATTAACGTCAGAGAACGGTCAAACTACTTGCTGTACAAACAAGTGTTTGCATGACTATAAAGACCAAGTAGGATAAAATAATAATAAAATATCAGTTTGCAACATCAAGCAGCATTAGCATAGCGACCTGGTTTTAACATGTAAAAATTAATGGAAGTGAAGGAGACTAAAATCTCGAGCCAAAAAGATTCAAATGTCTGTGTCTGCTAGTACCTGAAGAATAAGGTGAATACAGTTAAAGTTAGAATGCAGAGCATTTCCTGCTTTGTTATCAAACTATTTCCTAACTGTAACAAGATGTGATTCATTGTTAAAACAGCTATCATAACATTATTTATCAAAAATGTGGACCTTTTTGGATTCTCAGAAGCTATATGGAAATGAAAAATGTAAAAGAGGAAACACTTTAGGAGGACCATTGTTATTGTTTACATCCCTCAAAATGGTCTGCACTATTTGAAATATCAAAAATGGCAATTAATCAATCAGTGTCTGACTGTATATCTTGTTTGTAACAGGAGAGCTTGCGGGAGTCCTGCACTCAGGTGAGCACGCTACAGCAGAGAGAACGAGAGCGAGAGATCCAGAGAGAAAGAGAACGAGAGCAGGAGCGTCAGTCACAGCCCTCACAGGTGGACAGAGAGAAGGGGAGTGAAAAAGAGTCCAAACTGGAGAAAAAACTCAAAGAACTGCAGGAGAAAGGCTTACTTCGACTGGAGCGCACAGTCTCTGGAAGCCTGGACATTGACGTCATTCCAGTCACCTTAGAGAAGATTGTAACTCAGACAGGTAAGAGCAGAAGGAGGAGCAAGAGAAGTTTTCCTTCTGGTTGTCATCTAAAACGAATGCATGAAATGAAATGATTTTCTCTTTAAATTACACTTATTTATTTGATGCTTTTATACAAAATGACTCGCATAAAGAAACAAAACATTTTACATGTAGTATATACATACATACAGAGGTTTTTTTGTCAAGCCCACTCACCTGTTTGAAGTACACTTACAAAGCCAACATATGCTCAATCTAAAAACGTAGTCCTATATACGTTTCTGGAGTACGCAAATTATGTAGCCAGAAGTATGAATGGCTGCATTTCCTCTTTAAAGCGAACGATATGGGGTAGTATGATGCCATTCCTTTTCGTGCTTACCAGCTGACCGATTACCTTCATATGGACAGCTTTCCTGCTGTTACATTTGTCCAGTTAGCACGTGAACTTAAGATGCAGAGAGGAGGGCTTTTTCTTTTTCTGAATTGCTTTTTAAAACTATCACTTGGGTTTAGGGAAGTGGGTGGTGAGTCAATCAGTACATTTTAAAACACTAGTGGTTGGGTTTAGGAAAGGAAGAGGGTGGGTCAGTCGATTGGTCAGTCAGTCCGTCAAACAGTCAGTCGACAGAGGCCTCTGGTTGATTTACGCGAGAACTGCCGGCACGAAAGGCACTTGCAAGAGAAAATTGAGATCTCAAAAAGTATACACAGCTGCCTCCAGAGGATTCGCAAAAAACAAAAACTGCAAAAAGCATACGTCCTGGGATGTATTTGATGCACTTCAGAAATGTAGGTACGTTTTCAGAATGAGTTGCACAAAGCACAATGTGTTCCCAGAAACATGGAGTGTTTTTAAAAAAAGAGTCTTGTACATCTGGAGAGGAAAAGAGCATGCCTGCAAATGAATTAATCAACCAACAATAATTTAACATCTATGCAATGTTTGCAGTGACTGTGCCCGATTCTGCTTCTCAAGCCCCACCCAGTCCGGCTGCAGCACCACCTCCACCTCCTCCACCCCCTCCACTACCTGGCGCTGAAGCACCTCCTCCTCCTCCACCACCTCCTCCTCCTTCTGGAAGTGGAGGTGCTCCTCCCCCTCCCCCTCCGCCACCTCCCCCTGGTGGAGGTCCACCACCACCCCCGCCTCCACCGGGCTCTGGGCCTCCACCTCCTCCTGGAGCTCCTCCTGCCCCTGGAGCTGAAACAGGTTAACAAACTCAACTTTATAAAAAAGAATTGCAAACATGCAGTGCTCAGCATAATTGATAAACCCATTTTCAAATAGAATATTTGTATGTACTTATATATGCTGAGCACTCTACACTGAGCCTGGTGACTGTATATCCATTTTTTCTGGTGTTTTACACAGGACCAAAGGCACGCAAAACAATTCAGACAAAGTTCAGGATGCCTCTGTTGAACTGGCAGGCTTTGAAGCCCAACCAAGTGTCCGGAACGGTGTTTAGTGAGCTGAATGATGAGCAAGTGTTACAGGTAACAGCAAAAAATTACTCTCTTCCCTTTCCAAACCTGAGTGAAGTTCTTTTGATGGGACATAACAGAAGATTATGTTTTGTAGGGACGAAATGACACTCATATAACTCCTTAAGGCTTTTCACACTGTGCTTAACTCTGTGTTATAAACACAGATATAAATCTAAAGACCACTTTTAACCCTGGGTAGAGGAACATTTTACAGTTTTAGAACTGTTCTACAGAGCAATTGATTGGACAGAATGTCTGGCAGGAAGTGCAAAAACTCTTTTCAAATGAGTAGAATTAACTTTCAGTAAATTTACACTCATTTCATTTGATAAAGTTGACTGTTGGGCTTTACAGTGTAGCTTTATATTCAAAATGTCCATTCAGGAAAAACATTGACAGAGAATACAGAGAATATGCAACACTAAAGCTGACAATATGACAAAATCCAAATGAGAAACCAAAGGCAGTAAGTTTGTACAATACAAAACCTCAACATTTGGAGAGCCAAATTATTACCAGTGTGATTTGTGAAGATAACCCAGGATTCAGTTTTGAATTACCTAAGGACCTAAGGAGTCCCTACGTGTGGGTTAAACCGATATAAGAAATCCTCTGTACCAATTTCAGTGGGTTTACTTTACAAGAGTTTATATTAATTAGAATTAGAATTAATGTTTGCCACTAGAGGGAGTGTATTCACAACAAACAAAGGTGTAGTGTGGAGTCTCTATTACATCCCATGGGACTTCTGCAGAAATCATGTTAATAGATGAGTAGTATGTTAATTATCATGGTAGTATGAAGCAGAGTAGAGCTGAAAGCTGTTGAAGCAAAATGAGACGTTGAAGCAATTGCTAATCAGAGATGAGCTGGCATATCTCAAAAGCAGTGAAGCATTTATTATGCCACAGTTGACCACTTTCTATTCTTATGCTCATGAAAAAAGCAACACTGATTTATCATACTAAAAGCTTTTAAGGTTCTGTTGTAAAGTTGCTCTGTGCAGTCAAATAAATCACTCAACATATTACAGTGTCTTGTGTATGACATCATTAGAGACACAATAATAATTCATTACATTTATATAGCACTTTTCTGGTCAGACTTGGCCAGGATTAAACCCCTATTCATTTTCAAAGGACATCCTGGGATTTTTAACGACCACAGAGAGTCAGGACCTTGGTTTATTGTCTCATTTGAAAGACAGCACTCACTGAGCAGTATAGAGTCCTCTTCACTATACAGGGGCATTAGAACCCACACAAACCACAAGTTGAGTACCACCTGCTGGTCTCACTAACACCACTTCTGACAGCAACCTAGCTTTCCCATGTGGTCTCCCGTCCAGATACTGACCAGGCGCAGCCCTGCTTAGCTTCAGTGGACGACCATGTGAGAATTGCAGAGAGCTAGCTGCCGGTTTTGACATTGAATCAGTTTTTTTCTTTAGATAAAATTGCAAATTCTAACAAACATTTGGCATAATGTAAGAACATAAGTCAGCAAAATATTTACAGAAATAGCTCATACCCACCAGGACGCTTTTCATGTGCATATATCGTCAGCGTTTTTCGAGATTAAAACCCAAGATATTTACTCGCGCTGAACAGAAGAGTATGAACAATCACTCCTTAATTATGACAACTTTAAACTTCTGACACCTGCTTGTAACACAGAAGAAGAAGATTGTAATTTGACACATTTGTTGTTAAAGTTACTGGTGATTCGAACAAGCATGGTTGGTTCAAGTAGCAGTTTCAGCTCTAGTAATAAAGAAAGGATTATTGTTCACCAGTGCAATAAGCAGCTCCACGTTCATATCGCCTCTGGGCATCTTTATCAATGTACACTCACATTGACAGTTTTGCGCTTGAGCACCTCCAAGTGCTGTTTACTGTAACTTCAGCAGCTCAGTGCACGTGAACAAAAGTGCCTATCTGATTGGTGGAGAAGGTTTTGACGCGGTGTGTCAAACAAAAAAAGAAGCATGAGGAGTTTCTTAAATAAAGGCACTTGGCATTTTGTGCATTGGTGTGCATGACCATATTGGCACCTTTATTTAGTCACGAGGCGTTAAACATTGACGGAAAAAGCGAGCAAAAAGCTTCCTGTTGTGCATGGGCTCTTTACACTGTCTTAATGGTTTTCGGATATTTCAATTAAAGAAAAATCCTACATATTGTGCCTTTAATTGTGAAAAGCCTTATTGACTTTCATTGTTTGGACACAATTATTAAGTTTTTTATGTTCACCAGTAGAAGGAATGTTAAACATGTTTCGAACAACATAAGGGTGAATAATTGATAGTGGAATTAAACATTTTGGCCAAACTATTCCTTAATAATTAATCTGTCAGTTAATATACTGTAAATTCTTTAATCTCAGGCTCTGAATATGGATCTATTTGCGGAGCAGTTTAAGACTAAAGCACAAGGTCCCCCAGCAGATCTTTCTAAGCTCAAGGTTAAAGTGGCTGAGAAGGCCCCAACTAAGGTGTCCCTGCTGGAGGCTAACAAGGCCAAAAACCTTGCCATCACCCTCCGCAAGGGAGGCATGAACCCTGACAAAATCTGCACTGCAATTGAGAGGTATGTAGCCACTTGTGAACAGCAAACTGCACCATTAAAACAATCTGAACCGACACAGAAACTCTTCTCTCTCTGTTGTTGTCAGTTATGATCAGTCTCTGAGCTTAGACTTTCTGGAACTTCTGGAACGCTTCATCCCATCGGAGTATGAGATGAAGTTGCTCCAGAACTATGAGAAAGAAGGACGTCCTCTAGAAGACCTGAGCGAGGAGGACCGTTTCATCAGCCGCTTTGGGAAAATCCCACGTCTTTCCCAGCGGATTAACACTCTTACCTTCATGGGGAACTTTCCAGAAAGCATCAAACGCCTGCAGCCGGTCAGTTAACATTACAGTTAGGCTTATGATATACGATATTATCACAATAAAGACGTAAGCTGCAAAAAAGATTGTTAACTGGTATAATAATCAAAAATATTTACAGTAATGATTTAGTGGTCAATCATACTAAACACCTTTTTCTGTTCTGAAAATGTGAGGCGCAATGAATTGCCTTTTTTTTGTTGACAAGAAAAAAAGGAGTGCACTGTGCCAAAGCCCCTTTAAGGAAAGTCATTTCACTCGGCGGCCATCTTTGAAACGTCTCTTGGGCAGTATGTTCGGGCATTTTGTGTGAATGAGGAAACATCAAAGTCTCCAAAATTGCCAAGCTTATTATCAAATTTCATATTAAGAATCACCAAGAAAATTGAACAACAACCATGTATTTAGTTGATTATTTCTAAACGTTCGAATTACACAAAATTTGCAGAAACTCATGTCTGGTCCAAACCCCTCCCCTGGTTATTCGTCAGTCTATAGCAATCACTGATTGGCTCTTGTACTAGAAGGCGGGGCTTCATTCGTCATGTTGACCATTACCTTTTTTCCTACTCAAAACTATATAAGTGACACGTCTTGTGTAATCTATAGTCTTTGTGTGCACTTATTACTGTTGGTTGCTAGGCTATTACCAATTATCTAGGCTATTACCTATTTAGGCCTGCTGCTTTTTTATAATATTGTGAAATTCACAAATCATTAAGTTTGGATATTGGATAACAGTCCAGATAAGTCTGGATAGCTCAGAAACAGCGAGCACTAGTCTCTCCTCCATCTCTCTCCATCTTGACATCACAAACACTGCTGTCACTTCAACGGAAACCCCGTCTCTGCTTTCATTTAATTGGACAATAAAAAAAGACTTGACTGACTTCGCAAACTTTTTCCGCTCAGAATTGACATTTTTTCAACTGCAGGCCCACAGAGCGCAATGTCAAAAACACAAGTTATCCATTTAAAAAAAGGCACCACTCATTACAATACACCTTATTGAACAACTAGAGAACCACCAGCTTTGCACATTTTCCATGTCTCCTTAACCAAACACACCTAATTCAGATCATAAGCTCATTAGCAGAGACTGAAAGACCTGAAATTGGTGTGACAGACAAAGAAGACATCAAAAACATGCAGTGTTAGTGTTCCTCCAGGAAAATGGTTGAGAAACACTGACTTTATGCATTATTAAATAACAGTGAGAAATAACCACATTTCTTACAGTTACTATATTAAAGGGCACCTATGATGAAATTATAGGTGGAAACCTATAATCTGTTGGGAGCTATTTGGACAGAATTGTGAGCAGGTACACTCTCAGAAATAAAGGTATGTGAGCTGTCACTGGGGTGGTAGCTTTTTAAAAGTTACAAATTTGTACCTAAAAGGTCCATATTAATACCTCAAGGGTACATATTAGTACCTAAAAAGTACAAAAGTGTTTCTCTTAAAATTTGTAGGTACTATTATATACTTTTGAGGTACCAATATGGACCCTTCAAGTACAGATGTGTACCTTTTGAAAAGGTACCACCCCAGTGACAGCTTGTGTACCTTCATTTCTGAAAGTGTATAGTGTGTCCACTGTCATATTGGGGTGAAAATCTAATAAAACTCGTTTTGGAAATTTCCTGATGTTAGAATAGGGTCCAAATCCCTCCCATTTTGAGGCCCACCAATACTACAACCTGACTCTTTAAAATACAATCTAAAAAATTAACAATAAATAATTATTCATAGTATTTATAAGAGCTTCAGCCTACAAAATCAATAGTGTGCATGTTCATCATCACAATATCTTAAATATCATCATATATCTAGTCATTGTTTGTCTGTTGTACCCAACGTAAGGCATATGTTTTAATTGAAAACCTTTTTCTGTAGCAACTGGATGCCATCATTGCAGCATCGGTGTCCCTCAAGTCCTCATCAAAGCTGAAGAAGATGTTAGAGGTGAGTAGAGCACAATTGTGATCGTGAGATTTTAACGGTGCGCTGCTTCAGTGAAGCTCACTTGTCAATTTCTTGTCGGCTTCAGATCATCCTGGCCTTTGGGAACTACATGAACAGCAGTAAAAGAGGAGCAGCGTATGGCTTCCGTCTGCAGAGCCTCGACCTGGTGAGTCAGTCTGTCGGTTGTAACTTCAAGGGTGGTGTTTTTGAGTTATGCACGGCTTCGCTGTTGTGTTTGAACTGTAAATAACTGGAGAAAATCACAGGCCCAGGTGAGAGTTTGGAGAGCTCTGTTTGGATTTGTTTTGAGAGGCAGCTCACACAGAGACATTTGATGTAGAAACAAAGAAGTTCAGTGATTCTGAAGAAAACAGGTACTGAAACTTTTGCATGGGAAGAAAACATTTTCTTGCTGATCTCGTTTTGCTGAGGGGTTATATCAATAATACAAACTATAAATGTTATAAATTCATATTACAATTGTTCTCCCCAAGCCTTTCAAATGTCAGATTGCCTTGCTTTTTATGTGAAGTTTTTCAAACTAATTTCGAGAGGAGCACGTGATATGATTGACTGCAGCTGGCCACCCATCTACATTCATTAGTTAGCCAATCAGATCTATCCTAACTTACTATAAGTAGCCTAGCTAGATTTACTCCCTTATCTTCGTTTTCCGAAGAAACCCCCCTTCCACCACTTTCTCCTCCTTTCCTCCTTTACAAACGGGGAGCTCTCGAGAACCTCCTGATCTTGTACTACCCTCTCATGCTATATGGACCTGGCGGTAGCCCTGGGCTCAACTATCTCCGAGCTCAGGGTTCTCTCCCGGGACAGCATGTCAAACCTGCTAACAGTTGTCAAGCAATATCTAAGTGTGAACTCTTGAAGTATTTTTTATGGAATGCATATTAAACATCATGAAAGCACACCATTCATCAAGCCCCACAGTTATTCTTTAGTTAAATAAAAATACAGATAATTAATATGATTATTATTATTAAATAGCAAACATTTCTAGTAAAATGTTATAGTTTTGTTTTTGTTCTTTTTATTTTTTTATTTTATCTGTTTTAATTTTATTGCGTATTTTTTATATTTAATGAAATAATATTTGTATTTTATTCACATAATTTTAGTACATCAAGTTAAACTAAACGAAAGCTCAAGTAGTGCATTTTAAACTAGCTATTTAATCATTTTATTTGATTTAATAATAAGTTCATTTATTAATTTATAGTCAGCATATTAATAACTTTAGTGTTGGGACACCATGTATAATAACACTGATTACCATAAATCATCATTAAGTCAATAGTATCTTGAAAAAATGTTTAAAAATCTTTTAATAAATTAATTAAAAAAATATATATTTTTAAATAAATGAAAGTGTATCTCACATTTGCATTTAACCAAATCTTTTCAAAAACATAATAAAACTAAATAATCAAAATAGCCACCTACTGATGACATAGTATACAGTTTTAAGCAACACTCACTGTTTAGCTACTTTAAAATTAAAGTAATCTATTTAGTTACTTAACTCTTCTATTAACCTTGGGGTCAATTTGACCATATTCAATGTTAAACGTATGTACTTATATAGTTGATTTTTTTTTTTTTTTTTTTTTTGCTTCAGATTGAATGACTTTTCTTAATTTAATAGGGAAAACTTGGTAAACATAAAATTAACATAATATTATTTTTTTTCAGTGCCCTGTTCACATTTTGTAACATAAGTCACAGGGTCTTTTAGCTGTACACAAAAAAATTACTCATATTTGTTTTGGGTGATATTGAGGTTACGATAATATAGTTTGATTTTATAATATGCACAAAAATTTAATGCATATTAAAAATAAAAAAAACTACAAAAACAACAACACAACCATACCTGTAAACTCAGAAATAAAGTTTTTTTTTAAAAGCCATATTGGTACCTCAAAAGTATATATTAGTACCTAACATTTTTTAAAGGAACACTTTTGTACTTTCTGTGGTATGTAGTTAAGAGTGACACTAACCTTTTGGCAAAAAAAAAAAAAAAAAAAAAAAAAAAAAAAAATATATATATATATATATATATATATATATATATATATATATATATATATATATATATATATATATATATATATATATATATATATATATATATATATATATATATATATATATATATATATATATATATATATATATATATATATATATATATATATATATATATATTCTGGAGCCCAGTGGGGAAAAAAACTGATTTTAGGGTAACAGGAGGCATATAGATGGGTGATTTTTATAAAAAGTAAATAAATTCAGCATGATCTACATCCGATTCTGTCTTCTACCTTTGCAATACTGTAAGTTTATCTGTCACTGTATCTCTCTTTAGCAACCTAGTGTTCTTCTCACAGTCACACTTCTCTCTTGTGCCTTTCAGCTGCTGGACACAAAGTCCACAGACCGCACACAGACTCTGCTGCACTTCATTGCAAATATGGTGCATGAGAAATACCCTGAGCTTACCTCCTTCCACAATGAACTCCGCTTTGTAGACAAGGCTGCTCTAGGTAAGACATAATAAGTTAATGTACACAGTGTGTTATGGACATTCATACTATAGTACATTCTGCTTGTTAAGTTGCCTCTACTCATTAAGCAAGAAAACAATGTTCATTAATGACCACTGTTTAATCATATCTCACATTAAAGCAAATCTTTTGCATAAGCATTGTGTTCACAACAATCTCTGGACTTGAGGTCATGAAGACACCAATATCTGAATGATTGATAAAATACTGTCAGATATCTGGTCCTCCAACTTGGGAGTTTAGTGTTATGTAATGACCAACCTCATAAGAATTAGATTTTACGAAACACCAACATGGTGAGGCTAACTACCAACTTTTCTATTTATGGCCCTGGGAGTAAGTAAGCAAGTATAAGACATCTAAGATATTATAGTATTACAACACACTATAAGTTTATATTAGTACCATTTGTTGTTTGCTTTTGTGATCGGAGTTTGGACTATAATTTTGGAACATATATTGGTATATAATTGTACTCCATGAAACCGAAGTTACAATCCTTTTTTCCTCGATCATCACTGTAGTAAATTTTTTTTTCTATTGACATCAGTTTGATGCATCAGCCACAATATTTTTACCATTCATTTGCTATGAGGTAATAATGCACAAAAGAAAGCTCTGCCCCCACTAAATATTTAGTTTCAGTTGGAAGTACATCAACACACTGAAAAAAAATCTCAGCAACTTACGGTTCTCACAAACTTTAAAGCAAAATCTTTTAGAAAATCACAATAATCTCTGGATTGTTCCATTCAAGACACCTATAATTTAAGGATTGGCAGAAACTGTGATGTCAGCAACAAACTGATTCTTCATTTCAGTTCAATTCAATTCAATTCAATTCAATTCAATTCAATTCAATTCAATTCATGTTTATTCTATAGCGCTTTTACAATGTAGATTGTGTCAAAGCAGCTTAACATAGAAATTGTAGTAAACTGAATTCTCTGACCTTTGCTCTTGTCAGTGTCTCTGGACGGTGTTCTGCAGGATGTAAGATCTCTGGAAAGAGGCATGGAAGGCACCAAGAAGGAGTTTATGGTGCAGGACGACATCCCGGCACTCAAAGAGTTTGTCAAAGCCAACAGTGATGTATTAGACTCCCTCGTTAAAGATGGCAAAACAGCACAGGTGAGACCCCAGGAACACACTCAGAAACACACACACTGTACTATAAATGAATTTTTTGGTCATTTTTTTCTTCTTCTTTTTTTTCTCACAACAAGGAGGCATATGCGGCTGTGGTGGAGTATTACGGAGAAAACCCCAAGACGACACAGCCTTCCATGTTCTTCCCAATCTTTGCAAGGTTCATCAAAGCTTATAAGGTGAGAAAAAGTGTTCAGCACATACTGTACATACAGGCTGTAACATTAACTCTCGTACCAAGCACCAAGAGAGAAAACATCGGATACTTGACTGTCATTTTTAAAATTAGTTTTAAATATTTTAATAATTACCAAACAACACAACAACAATACAAGAAATACATGAAATAAGCATAATAATACAAAGAAAATAATGGTAATAATAAAAATAATAATAATAATAATAATAATAATAATAATAATTCTGTGTAATTTAGATTTTGAGTAGTGCAGTCTATGCATTACTTTAAACTGAATTAATTTATGCCTGTAATTAACAGAACATGATCGAATTCTACTGAGGCGTTTCTCCCATGTATTAATTTCAATCTGTGTACCTAGTTCCTCTTCCCAAGCAGTCTTCAAATGTGTTGTAGAGTAACTTGATACATATTGATACATATTGATGATTGATACATATACAAAATCTGAAATCAAATATTTAAAATCAGGTGAGCCCAATAGTAGCCTGTCAACCTTTCTTTCATCTGGCAGCGATTCAAAACTGGGTATCACATGACTTACATAATTTCTAATCTGCAAATATCTTGACTGTAATGTTTTACATTTCCTCACAAGCTCTATGGTTTAACATTTGGAAGCAGAAAAAAAACAATCAAAAAACTAACAAATCATAAACATTAATAACAGCCTTTAATTAAACTATTTTTTAAAAAAGTGTATTTTTTGGTTTGTTAAATTTAATAATAATAATAATATTATAAACTGTCATGAGATATTATTCCTTCTTTCAAACTGATTTTAATCAAATAATGCATAAACTGTATAGTAAAAGTCAGAATTATTTGCCCCCCTTTGAATTTCTTTTTCTTTTTTTTAATTTCCCAAATGTTGTTTAACAGAGCAAGGAAATTTTCACATTATGTCTGATAATATTTTTTTTCTTCTGGAGAAAGTCTTATTTGTTTTATTTCACCAAGAATAAAAGCAGTTTTAAATTTAAAAAAACCTTTTCAGGTGAAAATTATTAGCCCCTTTAAGCTATAAATTTTTTCTGATAGTCAACAGAACAAACCATTGTTATACAATTATACAATGACTTTCCTAATTGCCCCAACCTGCCTAGTTAACTTAATTAACCTAGTTAAGCCTTTAAATGTCACTTTAAGCTATACAGAAGTGTCTTAAAATATCTAGTAAAATATTGTTTCAGTTATTAGAAATGAATTATTTAAACGATTACGTTTAGAAATGTGTTAAAAAAAACTTCCCTCCATTATTAAACATGGGGGCTAATAATTCAGACTTTAACTGTAGTTCTATAACCAATAAAAGATGATTTACTGTCACTAGCCACTATCATGTGGCAAAATGTTAGTTTAAGCCATGCACACACATTTTTAAAGGTAATTAAAGCTGTTTGATCGTTCAGATGCTAATGGGAATTGCTTGAAATAGTGCATGTAAAGAAATAAAATGTTGAATAAGCATGCTGAAAGAGCTGAGCTCTACACCACGAGCAAAGAAACTGCAAGTTTCACAGCTTGATTATTAATTACTGTGGTGGTCTATTTTCGTGTCACACAACAGCAAGCGGAACAAGACAACGAACAGAAGAAGAAGCAGGAAATGGCAGCAGAAGAACAGGCAACCCCTTCCCCAAAAAAGAAAGAGGGCACCCCTCAAAAGGTTCGAAAATGCATTCATAAAATTTGCCTTTTTATATATGTATGCATACACACAGCATCATTTGAATTGAATCTTCAACTTTTATCAAAGTTGTCCTAAAACTATTGTCTTAGGAGGATTTTAAAAACTACAGATTACTATATATACACTACCAGTCAAACTTTTTTTTATTTTATTTTTTTAAGAAAATTATTCTAATCATCAAGGCAGCATTTATTAAATGAAAAAAATAAAAATAAAAATAAATAAAAAAAATAAATAAATATATATATATATATATATATATATATATATATATATATATATTTATAAAAACTTAAAATAACTGCTTTCTTATTGTATATGGTTTCAAATGAAATTATTACTCCAGTCATTATTGCTTTCATTACTACTACTACTACTACTACTACTACTACTACTACTACTACTACTACTAATAATAATAAAATTTCCCAGAGACGGGTTGCAGCTGGAAGAGCATCTGTTGCGTAAAACATATACTGGATAAGTTGGTGGTTCATTTTACTGTGACAACCCCATAATAAAAAAGGACTAAGCCGAAAAGAAAATGAATGAATGAATAATAATAATTATTTTTATTTTTATTCATAATACTAGAGGGATTTCTGAAGGAGCACAGGATTTTGAAGACTGGAGTAATGAAGCTGAAAATTCATCTTTAAAATCACTGAATAAATGATTAAATTAAATGATAAGCTACTTTTGAACAGGATTATCTTTCTTCAAAGTTGTCCTAAAACTTTTGAACAACAGCCACACTTGTCTTAGGATGATTTTAATGTTGAAAAAGTCAAGTAAATCTCGTTCTCTTATCAGGGTCCCATGATGCCCAAAATGGACCTGATTGCAGAGCTGAAGAAGAGACAAGTGAAGCCCCAAGTTACAGACGGAGCCATTGATGACATTATCACAGGTAAAAATGTGTTATCCTAAACGATATATCAAAAGCACTTTCCTTCAAAATCGCCTTTTTCCTCAGAAAAAGTAACTAACTGAGACTTTTAAACCAGTCTCTTGCTTTTTTTATATTATAAAGCCATTATTTTTTTATAGTTAAAAAAAAATATTCAAAAAAATTGTACAATAATTTTGCTTTGTCTGTGCCAGATTTGAGAAACTCACCATATAGAAGAGGTGATGGTCGGAGAGCAGCTCCACGACAAGAAAACTGAGTGTGACCTTCAAGAGACAATCCTGGAAGCTTCTGTACATAAAAGCTGCAATCTTATTCTATAAATATATATATAGTAAAACATTTTTAAAATGTATCTGGCAAACACACATTCAAACACAAGTTCACACGACAGCAGATGGTGCACACAACCACAAAGAGTCACACTAACAGACACCCATCACTCATTCACACATAGCCTATGAGAATCTGTTTGAAGCAGATCAATATAGTTGTACATAAGCCATAAAATCATTTTGTACTCTCACGTTTAATTATTTCATGCGTCATTTCAAAGGAATTTTAGCAAAAAAATTGTATAAAAACACTTTTTATATGTTACACGGTTACAAACAACAATAACATGAAAAAAGACTCAGTGGAAATGTTGTCGTAGAAGAGAGCTGTACTTTATTAGACACACAACCACAGCAAGTATGTACAAAAGATCTCAGCTCTCGACGTTTTCTCACAGGAAAAAAAAAAATCCAAATCAAATAAAATCACATTTCTCACAAAGTTATCATGGCATCCACACTGACAAATTAATTTCTTTTTCTTCTGTATCTATAGGTGTTTATATATCTTATTTGTATATAGAGCGACGCTCAGGTGGTATATTCCTCTAGTCTAGAGATGGGACGGTCACAGCGTGGGTAAAGGATCGGTTGATGGTCCGAGCGGAGTTTTAATCACTCAGTAAAACACACTCAGAGCTTGCCAATCAAGTCTGGTTTGTACATCATCACAGGTTACAGTAAGACTGGACATGCCTGAGCTACAAAGAAATCAGACATAGAAAAAGTCATTTTTTTCATATACTTTGTCTCTACGAGCTGTGAACCTCTCTATTCTTTCCGTTGACTCTATTTTTTATAAAAAAAAAAAACATGTAGATAACTTTGTTTTTTAAAATCATCTGCACCGTGCGATTGCTTTTAGAATATACATGCATTGCTATAATTATTGTTTTTAGTATTTTTTTACTTTTAATATATACCTTATAACTCCATCTTTTAAATAAAACCTTTTTTTCTGGACATAATTTTGTAGGACTCTCAAATAATTACGCTTTTATATACATGTTATAGTCTCTTCTCATTTTATTTTACTGTTCAGTAGTATTTTAATAATATCGATGTCAGAATTGTGTAACATTCACACATCTATGTAGAAAAATCTCATTTAAGGGACTAAAGAGCTCTGCTAAAATATTCTACATAAAGACGTTCCATCATAGACCATTTATGAACAAAGAATGTGCTTTCTTTAAAATTCTCTGTGATAGTTTGGGCCTGGCATAACTAGAAGAGGCGTCCAGCTCCTCCTATTTCCCCGCAGTCTTTCTGAGGGGGGGAAACTGCAACTTGTGATTCAAAATTAGCAGTATGTGGCAGAAACATTTAAGCAGCGGTTTTGTTGACCAAGGCATTTGTACATTCACTCGATTTATACATCAGCTTGTCTCGCTGAGGAACTAAAGTATAAGCATAGAAGTTGCAGACTTACTCCCATCCACTAGAGGGCAGACAAGGGCCGTGCAGTTAACATTATTCACATTGTTGATTTCACCCAAAACAACAAATGATCAGTTAAAGCAAATGACACCCTCAGGTCACAATACAGAGTTGAGCTTTGTAAGTATCCTGATTTCACTCATATAATTTGATTCTTTTTGGTGGACAGAGGCTTTTTTTTCTTCAGATTCACCCAACAACTTATAATAATTAACAAAACTATAAACCTGTGGTTAAGATGCAGCTGTACATTATACATAAAATGGGCTGTACAGAGTAATATTTTCAACTTAATATACAAAAAGACACTTGAATAAATAATTTAGCTATATACGTATTTAAAAAACAAAAATATGTACAAATAAATCTGTTAATAAAAAAAAATAAAAAAACAAAAAAATATACAAAGCAAATTTTGCATCATTCTTTTTTTTTAACCAACAGTGTTAAGTGAAAAATAACTTTGAAGATGTGCATATCATGTCTGAGCTAATGTTATACCTTGTTTTAAGACAGAAAGATCCTACTTTTAAGAGGGAGATTTTACCACCTTCCTACATATATTCATTGCAGTCTCTGAGGGGGTCAGGAAAGTCTTTTCTTAGCTCACGAATTTCAACCCATGGCTTAACTAAGAGGATGAAGTGTACTTACTGACAGGAAGTGCTGTAGATTCTTACCATCTCCATCCAAGCATGAAACCCACTTCTCGTTTCTGAGAAACTGTAACCACAAGGGTAACGTTTTGATCGGTGCAGTGCGCTAACTGCAGCATGAATTGCTGAATTCATCTAATTTGCTAGTTTGTAATAGTATTTTGAGCAGTAGAAATGGGAATATGAAGCTTGCATGAACGATTTTTTTTTTACACATGGAGTTTTAAGGAAGTGGTAAACCACAGTGCCATTCATTGCATCATCTCTTGGTCTATGGTAAAAAGTAAATTTGCATTGAGCCATCTAAAGTATCTTCTGTATGTAGTGTGAATGTGTGAAGTAGACTAAAATTTTAACATTTTTGGACAATTTTAACACAGGCTGGGAGCGGGTGGGGGTTATGTGTGGGACCGGTGAAGGGGGTTGGCTCGTATGTTGCTGGGGATCATTAAGTGGGATAACAAGCTGAGAAAGCATTAATGTTACTCTAATACAAGTTTTATTTATGGAGAAAATTACTAATTAGTCTACTAAAATGTGTAAGTTTAATTCAAAGTATAAGGCTGATCCGTCAGTTCCTGTCACGTGATTCGCGGTGCGCTCATGGCATTCATTTTACTGGGCGTGACTAGAAGGCACGAGTGCGTCACACCACTTGAGCGTGCAAGCAGCGCACCTCCATTGAAAATAACGAACTTGCACCAAAAAAAGATGCAATATGCGAATGGCCCCTGAAAGGCCGCCATCATTTGCGATCACCAGCAGTTGATCCACTTGCACAGACATGCTGGATTCACTTGATTTGGATCTATTCTTTGGCAGTTCGCGGGTCCTTTACTGGGCCTTTTCCCCTTAGCAAAGAAACTTTCCAAAGACATCTGTTTCCTACTCATGTTGCTGCTTGTCGGTTAAATTTTTGGGGCTCAAATGAGATGTAAGCATACGAAAACGGTCATTTTTCTAAATAAAAGATTGTACAGACTCGGATAATAAATAAAATGTAAATAATTATTGATTTCTTGTGCGGCCTGGTACCAATTGGCCTGGTGGTTGAGGACCACTGATATATAGCATCAGTTGCGTCACTTCAATACCATTCACAAATCCTCTTCTGTGGCCTTCTATGATAGCGCAATATGATGCTCACCTAATTCAGACTTTTCAGTAGTTTTACAGACATGCACTGGCCGCCATGTACAAGTGTCCACCAAAATGCAGGTTTTCCCATTTATCATTTTATGGTGCTTTTCTACTGCTTTGTATGGCTCAATCCCCTTTAGGAGGTTCTCAACTGGGTACAGTCCCCACTGTTGTGCTTTTTTGTACCATCTCAGCTGAGGTTTCAAGAAAGCCAAACCGATATTTAAATGTGAAGTGTTGAATGAAAATCACCAAATGGCTTCAGAGAACCATCACCATCTGCTTCACTAGATTTTTAAAAATGAAACCTCAAACCTCCAAGATTTACTTAAATAGTCAGCAACAGGCACTGTAGAAGTATTCGACAATTAAAAAGGTGTTTGAAGTGCTTTGAAATGTGCATCCAATGTTTAATCTCAACTGAAACAGGAAGACAAGGCGGGACATAAAGTAGCCTCTCCCCCAATTGCCTTCAGTCTAAATAACAACTCTGCTGTTCAAAGTTGAGCTAAAGTACATCAGACTCATGACAGCCACAGTCTATAATAGTCATTCTGACTCACCATTTCTCTTACTGAGCTTACTGCGTAATTCAAATGGGTCTGATATGTTTTGTGGTCCGTGCTGACTTGCGCATATGATGAATGTCTGGGAATGGAGCAAGACCATTAGGCTTAAGAGTCCATAAGTCTAAATCTCGCTCAGAGTAGTAAGTCCAGTGGGACCTTTTGTCTGTTTTATGAATTCGGACATAACTCTTGGCTGACATGCTTTTTGTTGTTTTGCACAGGCATAACATGAAATTTTCTCAGCTTTTTGTATAACTCGCAGATTCAGATGTTAATCTCGAATAAACTCATTTTTCCTTTCATCCACACACCACATTTAAACCGTGCCTTAAATTAAGAGATTTCTATGAATGCAACAGGCTAAGCTTGACCTTTTGTTTCTCCCAGCACCTCCCCATGTGAATCATTGTGCATTTCGGACATGAGTTACAGACCGATTTGGCTGAGAGACACGGAGTAACACCACTAATCTCTCCCTCTGGCCATTTACTCTCGCCGTCGAAATAGTGCTTAAGCCATTATTTTAAACCCTGCACCACGAGAAATCAATTTCACACATTCGTTTTGTCAGAAAGCTGGAAAAATCTCCCGTCTTGCTCTATTCAACTTATTATATTCCCTCTCTCAGTCACCTTTTCACATTTAAATTCTCTGGGCTCAAAACCTGCAGGTTGTGGCATTCACAAATTTACATAGGGAACATAGAAATATTGATGTGAGAAGGGGAAAAAGGCGTTAACAGAGTGTGTGCGAATGTCATGATGGCTGAAATGGGATAGGAAGATGAGTGGGCATAACCAGAGCCTTGATGACCAAACAAACTTTGAGATGAAACCATATAATAGATGTGATATTCATATTTGTATCCTCTTTGTAGGTAATCATAAACTTGCACACAATTGCCTTGTTAAAATAAAAGTAAATCTAAGTGCATGAGGTTTCGATAGAACAGTCTGATTAGCTTATTAGGAGAAAGGATGAGATGGAATGCTTTTTCACATAGATGTCTTCTATGTGATGGACCATGCCCACTGGCATACGCAAAGTGGAACTACCTTCAGTCTTCTTACTTGTGACATCCTTACATGGTGACCATTACAAGCTGATTTTAAATTGGAATTCAATCTGCAAGACTCAATGGTTAACTCAAGCTTGTGCCGAATGTTTGATGATTGTCAGATCATTGTACTATCACTAGCCTTTAAACCAGAGTGTCTAAACTCGGTCCTGGAGGGTTAGTGTCCTTTAACACACTTGCCTGGAAGTTTCTAGTATACCTAGAAAGAGCTTGATTAGCTGGTTCAGGTGTGTTTATTTAGGGTTGGAATTAAAATAGGTAAGACACTGGCCCTTCAGGATTGAGTTTGGACACCCCTGCTCTAAACCATGTTGTGCTTTTTTTAATGACTACTAGGTAGTAGTGTACATATATATAGAAAACAATGACTCCTATGAAATTGAGCCAGATTCCATCCAATATACTTAGGTGATTTAAAGCATGCAGGCCTTCAGTTTCCCACAATTCCTTGGTTGCCATGAAAACTTGTGCTAAGTTATAGCAAGCATGTAAAATGTCTGTATGAAGACTTATTTGTGTGCAAATGAGAACAAACTTGTACTCTTAGGCAGTGTATGACCATTAAAGGATTAGTTCACCTAAAATGATAAATGATGTCATCATCCACCTTTATGTCAATTCCAAGCCTCTATGACTTTCTGGAACATAAAATGAGGTCCAAATCACACCCTACACTACAAAAAATAAATAAATAAAAGACTTTTTTTTTCTTCTAAAATTTGTTATATCGGCTTGGAACAATACATAAATGTTTAATTGATTAAATCATTTTTTGGGGGGTGAACAGTTCCTTTAAGGTGAGTGGATAATCAGCAAAATATTAACCATAGCACCAATTTCAGTAATTTCTCTTTAGCAGTACAACTGTTAGCCAAAGTCTACATTACGAGTAACGCTGCCTCCATTAAGGTTTTTTCTGTATATTTTTAAAAACATTCCATTTGTTGATATAGATATGAGCAATAAAACGTCTCAACAAACACCGACTACAACAGTACTTACTTTCGATTATTGCAACTCTACTTGGTTTTACATAGTCTTACAGTCTTGATTTTACACTTGATGGACATCTACTGAACTTAGCTAGATCTCCAACATGTGAGATTTGGCAAATGAATGAGGGTTTGGGTAAAGAGTCCTTCCCCAGGCCTCCCGTGGGTGTTGTGATGCTGGCTGTGTGGTGGAGCTGGAAACAGGCTGGTGGTGAGTGTCCAAGCCCATCTGTTGGTTCTCTAGTTTGGCGAACTGGCAGAAACGCATGTCAAAGTAGGGTGTACAATTTGAATCTGCTCAAAAGCTAGAGAAAAGTAAACCTGTGATGTAGAACAATAAGTTATCCACCTCCATGCACTACTTAATTGTTATCCTAAAGGCGTTTTGGTAGGGATAGCCCTGGAAAGGGTAGGAAACAATACGCTACAGAAACTAACCTTCCAGGAACTTTCAGGTAAGTTGCATTAAATTTATTCTATTTGCAGTCTTTGCTTTCCATATGTGGAACATTTACAGCCAGGTTATTCATTGTCTTCCGGAGTCACCGTCTTTGGCTCCGTCTTGTTTTGCTCCTTGTAGAATTCCAGGCTGCGGGTAGTGGAGGGTTTTAGAGCCAGTGAGGATAGACTCAGTGAGGTGAGAGCAGAGGGCGATTGGGGCGAGGAAGAGGATGTGGGTGAGGTTGGAGAAGGAGGAGAACGGCCATTGGAGACGTGAAGAGGAAGGCTTGAAGAGTTGAAGTTCTGCTCTCTGAGTAACCGGTTGTGTCTGAAGGTGGAGGAGAGGAGCAGGGCCTCAGCTGAAAGGCTGGATGTGGAGAGACTAGCCAGAAGAGCTTTGGCCTGGTTGGACGAGGCTGTCAAGGAGGACAGTGCCCCCTCCTGAGGGTATTTCCTCAATCCAGAGGGCAGGTGACCCGAGAAACTTGCAGCTCTGGTGCTTACAAGAAGTGACTCAGTTGCTCTGGCTCTACTGATGTTTAGACTCAAAGCCTGAGGGTCGAACGTTGAAGGCAAAGTTGGGGGAGATAAGGGATAGAAAAAAAAATAGAAAAGAAACAGCATAAAAGCAATGAACGGAAACATTTTGGGAGGTCTTTAAGGTTTGATTTGGCTGCAATGTTGATAATCCCTCCCACAAGACACTTTCTTCAAGCAATAAATGAGGCTCTGGTGAATATCGACAACTGTCTAATGTTTTAGGCCATTTTTTAAAAGTACACAGGACTGACTAGAAGGAACTAGGTAAATGATTGAGGGCTTCAGTCAGGAGATGCTGATGAAGAAGTGGTGGTGAAGACAGCGAAGGAGGAGGTGGACAAGCCTTGGTTAGGTCAGGTTGGACTGGGTCACCCGCTTCTGCTTACTGGGTTGAGAGGTTAGACGTAAATGGTTGCCAAGAGGGCCGACGAAGGATGGTGGTATAGGTGAGACACAGGCAGGTAGCAGTGACGAAGAGGAAAATGCAAGGGGTGGGGAAGGATGGGAGGAAGGATGAAGACAAACACAAGACAAGATTATTCAGGTTAGGATCAATATAGCATGATGCTAGCCTGGTACATAACTATGTGTGGATTTTTTCCTTTTAGACCAAATCCACGCACATTCATAACACCCACAATGCACAACTGCAACAAGACACGGAACTTTCGACAAGTACTTGGTGGGTTAATTAAATATATAAGCATTTCTATTACCATCAATCACTCACACTTTCCAGTTTCTGTGGAACAGAATGATAAAAGCCAGTCCTCTGAGGTCTGCTCAGACTCAAATCAGTTGAGAGGGAGATGGACAGCAGGGAAACAAGGAGTGAAGGGGAGAGAGCGATGGGGTGAAGATAAAGCCAGAGTCTTTCCACATGAAGAGCCAATTATTCCACCCTGATAGAGCAGAAAAATACTCTCCATCTATATATCGCCCAGCATCTCTCTTTCCTTTAACCTTCTCCCTCTCTTTCATTTCTCTCACTCTCTTACAACCTTCCGGCCCATATCCTTCTCACCCAGCCTTCTCAAATTGCCCCTTGATAACACAGATGAAAATAGCTACTACTTTTGCACAGACATAAAGAATGCATTTCCCTTTAGTCCATTTCACAAGTATTGCCACATGTGAAATAAAAATGGGTGCTGGGGGTGTGCAAACATTCATTCATTCATTTCCTTTTCTGCTTAGTCCCTTTATTAATCCGGGGTCGCCACAGCGGAATGAACCGCTAACTTATTAGGATATGTTTTACACAGCAGATGCCTTCCAGCTGCAACTCATCACTGTAAAACATCCATACACCCTCATTCACACACATAAACTACAGACAATTCAGCCTACCCAATTCACCTATACTACATTTCCTTGACTTGTGGGAGAAACGCAACTAGTCGGGAACTGGCAACCTCAAACTCTGAGTCTCCCAAATCCCCCCTCCTCCAACCGACTGGTTCGAGCCTGAAAGGAGACCAAGGCAACTCGGTCGCTCACCCAAGCGCTCGCCCGAAACAGCCGCAGGAGGGTTGGGGGAACGTGCTCACGCCTTTGATGAAGAGAGGTAGCCCCGGAGGGACCTCCCGCCCTGCGCAAAAGCTGTACGCAAATAGTTTAAGCTAAAAATATACAAAATCATTACGTTTAAACCAGTTTGACCGCATACTTCTGAATACATTTAATTTCAGACTGAATTTGATATTAGTTTAATAAAGACTGGGATAAAAGGTGAGAGGACAAGTGAATCATACCTGTACCAGAGAGAGTGTGTGAAGTGTTTGTGAAGCAATGATGTGTTGATTCACTTTTCATCTATGCGGGGAACCACAGAGAGTAGTCATTTGAAATAAAGAGTCTATTGAGAGAAGGCTAGAGTGGAGAACTAAATCAAATGTGGATGAGGCCATGAGGCATGGTGAAAAGCTCAGCAAGCAGAGAAAAGGCATACATGAAATTATAAGAGACCGGGTAAAAAGATGTGTGTGCAAAAAGGTTTGTATCCGATTGCTTCTAGGAGGGTTAAGTCAAAAAATGCGATATACACAGTCCACTTCAAAGGGAATAATTAGCTGTTACACTGACAAGACTAAGTCCTGATCATATCCGGCTTAGCAGGAGTGCCTATAACAGCAAATATGCACTCCTGTAATTATAGCTGCAATGAACCCTCTGATCTGGCTTGCTCTCTTGCCAATATCTGCTTCTCTTTCCCTTCCCTATAAAAGATTAGATTCTTTTCTAATATTCATGGCCTGTTGAACAGGGGCCAGATTTATTAAACAGAGAGAAAAGATTTACAGAGAACCAGCATATCTATCTTCTCCTTACCTACAGCGCACAAACCCTCAGCTGGCCGTGTGCATGTGCCGCTTTTTCTCCCTCTAATCCATCTTTCAAACTCTCCTCTGTTTTCTCCACCTGTCTCGTTCACTTCCCTTCTGTTGTAGAGCTCACATTTCCCCAGTCTTAGGCTTCATGCTTCCTTTCTCCCTCTTCTCCTGAGACCCACCTGTCTCTGGCTTCTTTGTTCTGTTAGGGGGCTTTCAGTGCACTTTAGAGTCCCAAATGTTCTGCGTTTGACGCACCAATTCAGCCTTTTGAAAACGCTACTCTTGTCACTGCTGGAAAGTTCTTTCACAGCCTCACTTCACTTGTGACTGACACACAAGTCTCTCCTAAAAGCTTGTGCAGTAGTCTGAGTTGTGAAGAGTTACTGAAATTCCCTCAGACGCATTTTAAATTAGATTTGAGCAGAAAATAATCCTCCCAATATTCAGCAAACCTTTTTAAAATGTTGACAGAAGCTAATGCAATAATAAGATCAAGGGTCGATACTTTTACCATGTTCAAGACTAAGACCTGAAATCAAAACTAACAATGGGCCCTATCATACACCCAGCGCAGTGGGGCGCTAGACGCAGCGCAATAGTCTTTTGGTAGTTTCAGCTTGGCGCAAGAGTCGTTTTGAGGCGTTGCGCTACGCTGTTTAAATAGCAAATGCATTTGTGCACCCATAGGCGTTCTGGTCTAAAAAGGAAGGCGTTCTGAGGTGGACCGCTGGCGCGTTGCTATTTTGAGAAACTATAATAGATTTTTCATTAGACCAAAACTAACCCGGTCTAAACTCCGGCGCAGAGTTGCGCCTCGCTTACACACTGCTTAATACGCACAAGAGAGCAATAGGCAAATATCTTTACATATGAAAAAATTTAAATATTAAGGATATATATATAGGATAAAATAAGAATAGATATAGGATATAAATATAAAGGATTAAAATATTAAAAAACATTATTTTCTAGCCTACATAAATATGAAAAATCACTGCTTTTATGTCTTCTTCATCTCGGGAGGCTTTTTCAGTTCATTCATAACAATTTGCTTTTGTATAATGTTATTATTATTAGCAGTATTATTTATTATATCCATAGTAATATTTGTTTCATTAAAAACAAGCTTAGATTTGCCCACCTGTCAGGTTTTAGACCATATGGGGCACAGCATGTGTTTTATGATATAACTTAGGTTTTTGAGCTCATTTTGTTATTATTATTCATTTATTCATTTGCTAGAAATTAGAACTGAATTTAGAAATAGTTTTGAAACAAATCTTTGCGCTTAACAAACGAAATTAATTATTTATAGACTATTTATGTCTGTGCGTAAAGGTTTCCCTATCCAAGTGCGAAAGTAAAAGTGATCCATTATCTCTCATTCTCACGCAGTAGATGCTTTGTTTAACAGTTTTCTGTTAAAAAACTATCAACTGTTAACTGTTTGCTAGTGAAATGCTCATTTTTTCCACATAGACTTACTTTGCGTCCTGTAAATAGCGAATGCGCTGTTGGCGCGACGCAGCTGGGTCTTAAAGGTAATGGGAGATGAGACTCTTATTGGTTTATTCTCAAAACACACCTATAACTCATTAAGAAAATAAACTCAACCCTTTTAGCCCATGCGCCTTGGCACAAAGCAGGTTTTCCCGTCCTTACATTTCTAATGACCCTAATGTTAAAATGGCCAACTTTACAGGAGAAAAAAGGTGTTCACAGCAGGGTACAAAAAAAAAACGATTTTGGTATATATAGCTAATATTACACTTCATGACAACTGTGAGGGGTGTAATTTTTAAATAACTCATTCATTTAGTTTATATTGAGTTATATTAAATCTGTATAATTAGGGCATGGCCACTTGAGTTACAGCTAGGTCTTGCTGGTCGCAGTTACGTCACCTCAGCTGATTCTGGCTGATTAGCCACTGCACTCGGCATTTACATCGAATTTTTGTTTTGTTTTATGTGGCTGTACACAGTCAACAGCCTTTTGGGATAATTTCCTACTATTATCAGATAATATGGCATGCCTTTGTGCACTTATGAGCTCAAAAAACATTCGAGCAGATGGTAAAAATTGTATATTTTATGGTATAAAAATTTGCATATATTTATATACCATTTTCATATATTTTTTTAAAGATAATTTATCATTTGTAATTTCCTTTAGAAATTGAATGCACTCCAGAATCTGACAGATTGATTAGCTGTAGACTATAAAAAAGTCATCGGAAATGTTATCATCCAGTGTTATGCGTTGATTTCACAAATAGCCTTGCATTTACTTATGGCCGGTTTCCACTGAGTGGTACAGTACGGTACGGGTCACCTTTATCAGGCCAATGGTACCCTTTTAGTAGGCATGGTGTACGACAGAAAGTTTCAGTTGACGTCATTCTCGCTCGAGGAAATGACAAAGTAAAGCGGTACAGGTTGTTCATATATCATATGAGAAGCACTTTTTATAAAACAGATGCTTTGTACATATAAATACTTGTGTATAAACGGTTATGACTAACCTTTCCATAACCACGATTTGATTATAACTGCAGATCAATGATAAAAATAGCCTACTGTAACGTCTGCAATTATAAATTACAATTAACATTATGAATGCAACATATATGAACACATACAGACCCCTACATTCTCAGATATGTTACCAGTTATAAAAAAACTTTTTGGTATCTTTTGACAGTGGAAACGGCCATAAAAATGTATTGAACTGTACTGTACCACTCAGTGAAAACTGGCCATAACACATACTATATTTAGTGTATTTAGAAGTAATTCGTGTTTTCCTCCTGTAAAGCTTCTCCCTGAGCTTAGTGGCTCAGTGTATTACAACAGTGTTTTTAAAAGACTAAACACTTTATTGATATAGTGCACAACCAAGCACATGTGGTCAGAACACAGGTAATCGTAGTCGCAGATAATGAAGTATTAAGCATTTCTCCCAAAGAAAGGCCCGTCTAACCAAAAAGCTAGCAGGCATCTGTAGCTCCGTACACGCTACGTCTCTTTGTCCTTTTTTGATTACCCCTAGTCGGTGCGATGACGCACAAACAAAATGGTGACCATTGGCCACGCACACTTGTAGCTTCATATGGGTAGGCCCCATGTGGAATCTACGCACGCAGAAATCCACAGATTTTTAGCCTATTATTGAGTCTATGTATTTACTTGTGTAAATGTACACACAAGTTTACATTATATTTATTCAATTATTATATTTATTAAAATTCAATTCACTAATATTATTATGGAATACTAATAGTAAAATTAAAATGTTCATGTGATTTATTTACAATACAGTTTGTAAAGTAATAGTTTCTGTTTTTTTAATAGATATACTATATAAGAGACGTGCTTTATTTAACAAATAATTGGATCTAACTGGATTTGCATTGTAAAAATGTTTAAAAAGTTAAAAATTTATAATTTTTTATTTTATATATTAAGCTATTTGTTATGATACTCACTTAACATTCCACATAAATCCACAGAAATCTGAAAAAAGTCCACAGACTCTCTCTGGCCCTACCTATGGGGGACGTCACTCACAAATACTACGTGCATATCTTTTACAGTCTCTAGTCTGGACACAATCTGTCAGTCAAAGACCAGACTAAGCCTAAACTAGCATGAGATCAGATACAACTTTACAACAATGGATAACATTGAATACAATGTTACCTAGAACAACTGAGAGAACCATAGAATGATAAAATGCCACACAGAAAGATGAATCAATATACAGAATGTCAGACACGTTGAAACATTAGGTAGATGACAGAACAATTGACAGTAAAGAAAAACAATTGAGGCTATAGACAGATGGATCGTACCTGCTGTTGTCCATGATTCTTCAGGAAGTCCTCTCTCTGCTTGCTAGTTTTGATTTTTTCTGATCCGCTCTGCTGCAGATGCTTGAGACGGGACAACGCCTTCCCACCACTAGTCTGATATGAACAAAAAAACAAGAACAGATGTTCTGTACACTGTATTTGATAATATTTCGCATCCAATTTTAACAGTGTTTTCCCCATGACTAGCAATCAGAGGAAGTGCTGAAGGAGAGCAGTGTGCAAGACAGGCAAGAGGGTGATGTGTTTTAATAGAACACATGCAAGCATTTCAGCACAGTCCTTTCATTCTCCCTCACACACACAGACACACACAAATTACCTGTTATTTCTTGTATTTAATTCAGAAATTATAAATCATATGGCTCTGCACAGTGTTGACAAAAGCTCTTGGCACAATCCAAGTTGATGAACACTTTTCCTTCCTCACTCTGCATGTATTACCTACATAAGATCAAGCCCTAGACCAAAAGTCTAGAGTCACAACCAGCCAACAGCCCTTTTAAAGCTTTGAGGAGGCCCATTAGCTGTGTTTTATGCAAATCAGCACATCACAGAACGAAAGGCTTTGTAAGAGGATCTAATGCATGCAATCAGGTGGAGCCACGATTTCCAGGCTCCATCTGTTCTACGAAAGAAGCGCGCAATGACCTAGAGCGAGGGGCTCAATCGCCACAGTTAGAAGAGATGATGCAATGCTGGCTGGTGCACAAATGTGTGGGCTGAAAGCAACATGGTGGAAAACATAAGTGGCATCGTCCAAATCCTTCCCTTCTGTCACTCACAGAGATCAGCCCTGTTCTCTGTGGAGAAGACTAATACACATGACGTGTGGTGGATTGCTGCTTCATAGCATGCTCAACTCAAAGCGGTTTACCCTGACAACTACTCTCCGAAGACAGAAGACAAACGCAAGAAGATAATACCTCATAAATTCCACAACAAAATCACTTGAGTAGTTGCGAACAGCTTCCCAGGGCTTTATCTTTTTATAAAACCACATAAAAATCTTATGTAACCGAGGAAAATAAGACAAGGGGAAAGTAATTAAATTGCAAAGTCATTTTAAAAGGAAAAGAGAAAGAGCAGACTAATGAAGAAGAGGACAAAACAAGAGAATTTATTGTGCGAAAGATACAATAAGTGTTTCTACAGAGGCTGGAGGCAAACACATTTTCAAAGGATTTGAAATAGAGAACAAACTGATCTAGTTGAGCAACATAGTAGAAAAGGCCATAAAACTTTCATTGCTGAGGAAGAAAGAGAGCCAAGATGATAGAAGGACAAAAAGACACTGAAGGCGATTATACTTTATATTTTACGGTGTCCTTGTTACAGTGTGACCATATATTCAAGTACCAAGTAGGCCAACGCGGAATCTGGCAGCGCAGAAATCCACAAATTTCTGCAGTTTTAAATTAATTTCAGTAATTTTACTGACCAATATGAAAACTTTCATATTGCACAGTTTGTAAAGTAATAATCTTTTAGTAGATTTACGGTAGAAATATTATATAAGAGACTTGCTTTGTTTACCAAATAAATAGATCTAATAGGATTTGCATTGTACACATTAAATAAAAGTTAGTAATGTTATCATTTTTAATTTAACATATTAAGTTTTTAGTTTTGATACAACCAAAATCATTTTACATTAGGGTTGTCACAATACTGGAATTCTGTACCAGTTAATCCTGAAGTTTTTAAAAGCGTCCATTTCCCGATGACATTTGAGCGCTACTGGCTGTGTAGGTCATCAGTTTATCGAACTCACCACTTTTTACTGAGTTTAACCACAGATATATGGACTGTTTCAAAGTCACGTCGATCAGCTGGTTTGTCTATAAGCTAACATATGAGCAATCCACTGATAAATTGTGACTTTAAATGAGAATGAGAGAAAAAAAACCTCAGCATTTCCCGGAAACTTAGATGCAATCGGTAGGTACCGTCAGAAAGCCGTGTGTGTCATTACTGTCACAAAATGCGGTAAAAATCCTACACGACGGTAAGTTTGATGTGTTTACATGTTTACACTCTGTGTAATAGTTAGTTCGATATGAACTAACTTTGCCATCTGAATGTAAACATGGTTCCCTAGACACGTATTGTTGTCCCGCGTTGCATGCACTGTAATCCACACGTGAGTCCAGCTGCGCTCTCATAGAAATAATGAAAACAAAACCTTCACTGCAGCAAATTATAAAAGCAACACTGCACACTTGTTTTGGTAACACAACGTGGCATCTCTCTGCTGTCTGAATCCTGTAACATTGATGAAAATTATTGAAGTTGCACAATAGAGCGTGCTTATTGGTTTGAACCAAGTCTTACTCATGCATTAATGCAGCACACTCAGAGACATAATAAGGCACTCCCCAGGTACAGACCCAGGTATACAGGCTGGAATACACGCTAAGATCTTATGGCTGTGACGCAGCTTCAAACATTTGTTTCAAACCGGAAGTACGAATTTGCTCAAAATAACACAAAAACAACAATTTTTCACTTTTTAATGAAATATATGTGTCCTAATAGTGTTTTTAGCAGCATGGGACACATATATGACTGTAAACAGTGTTTCGTGACCCTTTAAGAACATGCTCATTAGAGCTCAAATGTCAGCTGGAAATGGACGTTTTTACAATTTCAGTATCAATTGGTACCGAATTCCAGTATCGTGCAGAACATAAAACCACAGATTTTTTTTACAATATTCTGTGCTGAAATAGCTAAATAATGTCCGCAGATTCGGTCTGGACCTACTACTAAGAAATAATAATTTACTACATGTACTTACTATATAGTTGGGTTTAAAATGAGGGTTAGGTTTAGTGTTAGTTGCATGTAATTATGCATTATTTATTGTTATCACTATAGTAAGTACATGGAACTGGTGTAACAAGGACACTGTGAAAATAAAGTGTTACCCCAGAGGCTAGGCTGAACCTTAGCTGTGGATGTACTGATGCAGGACGGTTTGGGTGGCACTATAGGTCTGGCTGTTCCTCCTCCATCACTAGGGGATTGTGCCATTTGTCGAATGCTGCCAGATCTCTCTGTGGAGGAACTTGGCATCTGTGCAGACGGGTGGAAGAAGTTGCCCATGTGGGGATCAGTGCTAAACTCCATCAGGCTGAGCTCCAGCTCACGGATGGTTTCTTCCAGGCTGTCCAGTCGACGGTACGTGCTGTGGCAGATATCTTCCTTTTCCCCTCCGACTCCTTGCGTGCGAATCAAACTGTTCTGAGGTGTCTCTGCAGCCCCATTCTGCAGCGAAACAGACAGTATAGTGTCCGACTTTCTCATTGGCTTGTCTTTTGCCTCTGTCACTGCCTCGAGAGACTCCTGAACCCTGGGTTCCCTCCTCAGAGGCTGTTTAATTGCTCTCTCCCTTGTTAAGGGCAGGCATGACTGGGTCACATCATGGACGGGACACTGGAGCTCTCTCTGGGCTGCATCCAAGTCTTGTATCTGAGGGACTTTTTGGCTGGTTGTCAAGTCTTGTTTCCATAGCGACAGACGTGGAGTCCTGACAATGTGGCTGAAGTAGCTGACTCTGATGTCGTTTCCAGTGTCATTGTCTTTAATAGTCTGATCATCACTGGACGGCCTGTTCTCTGCTGAGTCCTCAGAAGGGGACATGGGGAGAGAGCCGCATTCAGTCAAGACTATCTGGGGAACCGGATTGGAGGACACCCCATGCTGAATCTGCATTGTAAAAGGAGTTAATTGTATAATTTACTCCTGAATGTGATTCATAAACATAAGAGATGCTTGAGTCACCCAAAAGTGAAAATATGCTGTTAATTTACTCTCCCCAGAACATCTAACAGGTGACTTTTGTTCTTCAGAAGAACAATAAAGAAGCTTTTTCAGCTGAAACTGTAGTCCTTGGTGAGTCTTATAATGCAACTGCACATTAGTGCACAACATAAGCAAATCAGGGAATAAAATTAATACCTGTGGCTACTGAAACTTTTGGTCTGTCCAAGAAATTAAACATTATTTACAACATTCTTACCTTCATAGTCTCATACAAATGAGGAAGTAACTGGTTCTTTTGGACAGATAATGTTCGGTTCAAATAGATTCATCAGTTCATTACATGATCATATTAATTTGCATAAAAAGAACCATTGTTCCTTTTATTCAACTTCTCTGTTCTCTAGTCCTCACATTACCTCTGGCTCATCAATTGGGTATATGTACACAGACTTTTAATTACAGCCAGCCAGCCTCAGCGCTTACAGTGAACTGTCTTTCCATTGTAAAATTGCCACGTTTAATGTCTTATTTCTTTAAAAATCAGTGATCAACACTGCCTGATAGATATCCGATATAAAGTGGGTCTCAGACTGAACAAGAAACACTGCATTAAATTCAGTTTTTCACCGCCATGTCTTTAAAATATGACAGTTTATTTTATGCCAGTATTTTAAATGGAGTTTCTGCGCTAACTTGTTGATCCTGACGCCGTTAGCGGTTACACAGTCTTTCATCCCATTTTAGGCTTGAACAACTAAATGAATGCTTTAGTCTATTTACCTGAATGTCTTGTAATTACATTACAACATCAAAGCTGTAAAAGGAACATTTTAAAATTGAAAAAAAGTCACATTAAGCTTTCCCCGGAAGTTTATCATTGGCTGAAAAATATTAGCTGTGCATAAAGCTCACGGGTGGCTAAACTCGGTCCTGGAGTGCCGGTGTCTTGCAAAGTTTAGTCCCAACCCCAATCAGACACATCTGGGCTAGCTAATCAAGCTATTACTAGGCTTTCTAGAAACATCCTTGCAGGTGTGTTGAAGCAAATTGTAGCTAAAATCTGGACAACAGTACAATCAACAGGACAACAGTCATCCTGGACCAAGTTTGGACACCCCAGATATAGCCCATTCAGTCACTGTTGGAGTAAGTGGAGCATTGAAGAAGTTGTTAAACATCTGCCTCATAGAATTATATATGCCATTATATTGGCTCATTTTGAGCTGAAATGCACTGGCTCAAACCACAGTTTCACCTATTTAGTCTGATTCAGTGAACTGGTTCATCCAGTTCACCGAATGAGCTGACTGAAAGGAACGATTTGTTTATGAAGCAGACAGTTTACCTGAGGCAATGGATTATAGAAAGTAATGCTTTAAATAATGTTCAGTTTCCTGCACAGACATAATATTACTCTTTGTTGCGTCTCAAAGTGCAAGCCCATAACCTACATTTAATGAATAAGCAAGAACCAGCTAACATATGTTCTTCTAGAGAAAAAAAGTCACCTAAATTTTCTCTGGCTTGAGGGTAAATTAACAGGACTTTTTTTTACTAGCACATATAAATAAGTACTTACCATAGGTTTCTGTGTCAAATCACTGGAGTTTTCATGAAAACCAGACTTAGATGGAGTCAGCTGCTGCTACAAATGTAGTACAGCACACAATTAAATAAACACAAAGACAAAATGTAAATATTTTGACACAGAAATAGTTCAATTAGAAATAAAAACTGTCATTATTTACATATAAAACTGCCGCGTAGGCAATGAAAATCAGTCGAAAACACAAAGTAAAAATCTGTTCTAGACACTTTTCAACATGCAATTACAATGTTTTCAAGCTTCATAAATAACTTGACTCATATTAATGTGAATTATTTGAATTCAAATGAATTATTTTAAAGTTAAAACGATTTTGTTTACCTGAATGGTCATCAGAGAAACAGCAATGCAAATATGTTGTTTAATTATTCAAATATCCATTTAAAATTCAGGGGTAAAAATCAATATTTTATTTTAAAGGAGCTCGATCTGACAGAAAAGGTTGAAAATCCCTAAATTACATTACACAAACATTATTAACCCTGAAAATCTATTACTTGGAAGGTCTTTTAGGCCTGAAATATTTTGTTCTCCAGAATTTCAGAATCCATAAATAGGAAATGCCATGGTATGAAGAAGACAGTATTTCACAGATATAAATCATAATATGCAATCACAACATCTGAAATGTAGTGTAGTTTTTGAGCCATATGGACTATTTTTTATGAATCTGTTGATGCTTTTGCAAACTTAATTGAGCTTCTGTACCTATTTGTTGTAACTGCATGGAAAGGTTTTTTGTTCCTCAGAAGAAAGTCAGAAAGGAAATACATTTTTGTCCTTTGCGCTGGTATACATACAGTATTAAATACAGCAAAAAAATCAGAAATCTTGGTGATTGCACTGCAAACTGCCTCATAAAACCAGATTCAGTGCAGGAAACGAAGCATTTCAACACACAAAACAGACATGCACTGGCAAGGGCACACACACTTTGTAGGTGTTGATTGATTAATTGTGATTGTGTGAACTGTGATGTGAATATATTTCAGTTTGTTTTGTGCATAAGAGCATTTCTAATATTTAGTGTGAGAGAAGTGAGACATATTTTGTCTACATCTGTGCATTAACAACATTTCAGGACACACTGATCATTTGGGGTAAACAACAGCGGTGTACAACAGCAGTCCACACTAGCTTTTACCTGTCCTGTCGAGGGCACATGGGGCAACAGCTGTAAACTAGAAGGAGGAAGGTTTTTTCTGGGAGAGGGCAGGGGGGGAGTCAGATATCGCTCAAAGAGCTGAGCATCAGAGGGATTGAAGAGAATAAATAAAAATATGGAATGCACAAAATCAGTTCAGAACAAGTCATGTCATGATTCCAATTAAAGACACACAGGATTGTAATCAATTTCTACAATTTCCTAAAAGGTCACTGCTTAGTGCAATTTGAAAATTCTGTATCCTAACAGGAGAAAAAGAGTCGTTTGTTTCATTATATTAAATCTAGGGCTGCATAATATATCGTTTCAGCATTGATATCGCAATGTGCACATCTGCAACAGTCACATCGCAAGATATGCAATGTTGAGTCTGAGTTATAGTCGACCAGGAGCTACTGAACACATATGATTTGTGAAGTCACTGCAAAGTTTAACCATAATAGGGTGAAGGTTTATCATTTGCATGTGTTTTTAAGGCCTGTGACTGAGCATTAGAAGAGTTTAAAATATTTGAAAAAAAATATATATATATGATGTTTGGGGTGTAACAAAGATTCATTGCATTTAATTATTTATTCAGAATTTTAAAAATAATAAAAAAAAAATCTTATTTACAATTGTTGTCTTGTTTTATTCCAAATATCTACATTTAAAAGTGAAAACAAGATTATTTTACTTACCCCAGTGGAAGATCAATTTGCTTGTTTTAAGGAAAAACTCTTAATCTTTAGTTATTTCTTCAGAAGGAGAAAATAATACAATATTATTTGCTTCATCTAAGATTTTTTTTCAATGTTTGGACTAGAACAAGACAGTGCAAAGTAAAAAAAAAACAAAAAAACTTTTTTTGCATTGTTATTACTTTACCTGAATAATGTTAGACTCCCCAGAAAACTAGAGCAAACAAACAGAGCTTTTCATCTTGTGAAATTGAATTTATATTGCAATATTTATCACAAAAATAAAGCATTGCAATCTCAGATTTTTCCAATAACATGCAGCCCTACTTTTCACTGATTCTGCTAGATTGTGAACTGCTCTAATGTGACTGAAACCCTTTGAGAGCAGACTGTCCAGATGAAGGACAAAAGAAGACTCCTTCAGCCGTAGCATGAGAAGTTTGTCACTCCCACTTTTCAAAATCTCATTTGTGTCCCCTCACTTACAAATTCATTGGCTATGTTTTTTCTAGACTGGCCATGTTGATGCATGCATCCGCATCCAGAAACTTTGTGTGCACACTCCATTAGCACAATCTAAAAAAGTTTACATACACTGCTTTTGAGTAACTTTTAATTTAAAAGTCAATATGTTCACAAAATTACATTTAATAAATATTTATTTATGCTGTCTATCTGACATTGAAATGACAAAATACTGATTAAACACTAATGTTTGGTTGATGTGTCTCTGATAAACACCACCATTACACATTATTCCCCTTTCATTTCAAGTACTTTAAAATAAGTTTAGCAGTGGAAATTGTTTAACATCCTATTTACATTTTCTTCACACACACCATTTTTTGTTTGTAGGCTATTGCACAATATGGGTTCATACAGTTATGCAAGCTACATTAATATATATTGTACAAATACAGAATTCTCAATATGTTTATAAATAAATATATGCTTTGCATATATTATATCAGGTAGATCATTTTGACTTGGCCATTTAATTAGTAGCTCACATGCTGAAAAGGTGTGGGCACCCCTGATATAAACGGAGAACATTTTTGTCTGGAGCTGGATTATGTGAAGTTCAGAATGTAAGATTGTGCTGCTTTAATGCCTGAGTTGGATTTTAAAATAAATTTGCCCAAATAGATGCTAAACTGGCTTGATTTTATTTGGAATTTTGGATTTAAATAATTGATCACATTTTTTTGACTTTATTAAATGAATATCTCAAGTTTTAGTGGTCGGTGCATATTAAACAATTAAGAAATCAAAATATGTTTTTAATACACATAGTTTATAATCTTCAATTCTTTTTGATTGTATGTATATTTCTAATCAGCTAATTACATCCTGCATTTTGCATAACCTAATCCCTAAATGTATGAAAATACAGAAAAGTTGATTCTAATCAAAAACATTTTACCCTGATTTTCTTTTGTCTCCACCCACTTTCCAAACCAAAGCTAAACCCCTGCCTGTAGTGATGTCCTGTGGTTGCAAATGTGCTAAAGTGCTAAAGTCGTTCAAAGCAAGGGCCTGCTTAGTTTTGACTGCTGTAACCTCCAGAAATGTTTGTTGTATTTTTTGTTCTGGCTACAATCACTGTGATTTCCACAAAACAAGTTTTGTTTTTTTTACTTGAGGTGCCTTGTATATTATCTAAAACACTGTTTTATTAGCATGCTAAATCTACCCACTGGAAAAAATGACTCATTGAAATGACTAATTAGTAAATTTAGTAATGTTCAACTTAAGGTGCTTTCATACTAGCACTTTTGGTCTGCATTTGGGCTCATTTGACGTCGAAGTATGGAACGTTTAGCTAGTATGAACAATGGTTGTTCTCAATATGCGTTCTTCAGCGATCTTGCATCCTTGTATTCTCGCGTTATGTCATCATCAACTGCCAAAGTTCAGTTCCAAAACTCAAAACTGCAAGAACGGCGGATGCGTGAAAGTTCGCAGATGTGTTATCAAGAATGTAACGCTGCAGACTTGAAAGGAAAACTCGCTCAAGAAGTCCCATAAGTCACTGCGGCTAAAAAAAGTAGATGGGAAGTGCAGCATTCTATATTGACTTATTATTAAAGTTCAGAGATATAACTTATTTATCTCAGGAGTTTCCCTAAATGAGACAGTGAATGACGGTTTCATCACCATGAAAATTTTAATGAAGGCATAAACACATTAAGGGTGTTTATTTGCTGAAATTCTAAACTAAACTAAAATATGTTTTTATTTTTTTTTGTATTGTGCAACATATATTTATAATGTTTTTATGCACAGTATTTACATTGAAAAGTGGAAAATTAATAAATCGTTGAATGCTGTAATTTTAAAATAATTTTCCCCGTTTAAAAAATGTGTGAAGGTCATGTGACCATCAGGAAGAACCGAGGAAGAACGCAGCATCTCAGTTCTCACAGGATGCATTCTGTGTTCTTGAAGTCTTCCGAGTTTGTTCTTCCAAGGTAACTTTGCAAGACCGGTCTCCACAAGACAGCAAGTCTGTTCTCTGCATTCTTGGAATTGAGAAACAGTCAATGTCTTCTGAACTTGGGTGGACACCCACGAACTGTACCAGAGCCCATTTGAAAGAGGTGGTCTGGGGCACATTCGCATAAACTCTGGTCCGGTTCACGTCTCATAAAAATCCAATCATAACAAGACCCTTTAAGGTAAGTCATTTCACTCGGCGGCCATCTTTGAAATGCCTCTTAGGCAGTATGCTTGGGCATTCTGATCACCCTACTCTACTGAAGTAATTTACAACTTGGTGTTGATGGCGAGTCTCCTCCAGAAATGACAGCAACTTTTTGTTTATAAGTTTGTGGGCGTTTAAGTAGTTGCTGTCATGTGGTGTGCGTTTGACAGGACGGACAGTACCTCGCGTTTGTTTCATACAGATTACGACACCAGATAACTTTTGCTTTTGTCTTCACTGGAGAAACATCAGTCTGCAGCGATCGATGATTGGCTCCTGCACCAGTAGGCGGGGCTTTATTCGCCAATGACCATTACACTTTTCCACATTCAAAACTATACGAGTAACATGTCTTGTGTGTGTGTATGTCTGTGTATCAACTAACATTACCATGGCGACAAGCGGGACTGAACCAGTACACAGTAATAATGTCTGCTTGTCTACTCCAAAAACGACTTCTAAAGACAATGCGTTAAGTTCAGAACATTTAGTAATTTTTTTGGCAGCAGATAAATGCAAGTGGCTCATTGTGTGTTACCAAAACCAAAAGATTCAGTAAAAGCATAATGACCATGATGTGTAAATGTCTTTCCATTTTGGCATCTTGGCTTTTGTGGCCGTCACCTGTACACACAACAGCAACTCGATGATGCAAGCGTACCGGTTCAGAGGGAAAAAAACAGTTCAGAGGGTGTGAAAACCAGTTGAGAAGGTGGCAAAGGGGGACAATCGAACTTGAGTTAGAAGCAGGCAATTAAACAATTGTGAAAGCACTCTTAATTTGTTCATTTAAATTTAGCTCATATAAATTGTTTGCAGCCAGTTACTTTAAAAAGCTAACATAAAAGTGCTTCGAATGTTGAACACTACAAAAAGCCTAGCACTTACAGTACAAATTCCTCTCTAATTTTAATGTCAGCTGTAAAATAACTAATGTTAATTGGATAGAACCTGTGCTATTATCCGAAATTACACACTTTACATTTCAATTATGTATGGAATTTAAATGTGAATGACCATGAATGCATATGTTTTTTTGGGGAGCTTGTGAGGCTGGTTAGCTTTGAAAGGGAGGTCAGCATGGTGTCGCTGCAGCGCTGCCCGGATCTCAACAGGTCTCCACAGGGTTTCCAACAGAGACATGCAGCAGGGATGGAGGACAAGAGACATCTGCTCGCTTACCCTGTCATCCACTCAAGCAAAACAACCAAATCTGTCTGCTTGGTTGTGTTAATGAGCCTCGCAGTTTCTGTGTCTGTTTGTGCGTGTGTGTGTGTGGCCTAAAGCAGATCAAGGAAGCCTAACATCAACACCACTGCAGCTCAAACTGTGTCAGGAGAAATGCACAGTTGTGACCTTCTGGCAAAATGATGATATGTAAATAGAGTCGACTGGGGAGTGAGGTTAGATATTAATTGTGCATCAATTAAAAATATAAAACCAATTTGCAAGTGCTGGAGCTGGATAGGGTGAAATTCAGAACGTAAGATTGGGCTGCTTTAATGCCTGAGCTGGATTTTTAATTGAATAGGCTGCTAAACTGGAGTGGTTTTATTTGGATTCCAATAAATTGACCACATATGGTGAAAAAGGGTTCATTGAATAAATATTAATTTTAATAATGAATCACTCATTTATTCATTTTCTTTTCAGCTTCAGCTGATTTATCAGGTTGCCACAGTGGAATAAACAACCAGCTATTCTGGCATATATTTTAAGCAGCGAATGTGACTAGCCACAGCCATATCACTCTGCAGCCCAAGATCGGTTACTCACTGAAGCTAAGCAGGGCTGAGCCTGGTCAGTACCTGGATGGGAAACCACATGGAAAAAAAACTAGGTTGCTGTTGGAGTTAGAGAGGCCAGCAGGGGACTCTCAACCCGTGATCTGTGTGAGTCCTGATGCCCCAGTAAAGTGAAGGGGACACTATACTGTCAGTGGGTGACGTCTTTCGGATGAGATGTTAAACCGAGGTTCTGACTCTCTGTGGCCATTAAAAATCTCATGGCACTTCTCGTAAAAGAGTAGGGGTGTAACTCCGGTGTCCTGGCCAAATTCCTTCCATCAGCCCTTACCCATCATGGCCTCCCAATCTCCCCATCCACTGAATTGGCTGTATCACAATCCCTCTACTCCACCAATAGCTGGTGTGTGGTGCGTGCACAGGTGCCATTGTCATGTGGCTGCCATTGCATCATCCAAGTGCACACTGGTGGTGGTGTGGAGGGACCCCTCATGATTGTTAAGTGCTTTGTGTGTATGGTCATAAATGCGCCATATAAATCCACATTACTTACTTACAGCCAAATAGCTTCTATTAATTAATCATTATTATGTCTGACATGTGAGATTTTGCTCAATATAATCAAAATTACACATGAAAATGGGTTATAGTTATATGTCTAGTTTGTATTTTCTTTAAACTTTAATTGTCCTTTTATTGCAATTAATGGGGTCTTAATAAAGATCTTAATAAATTGCTTTTACAATGTGAAGTCTTTTGAATTTTCACTCTAGATAAATTGTCTCCGAGAGGTTTACATGAGGAGTTTAATATTAATCCTTTTCTTTAATAGATCTTTAATGTTTAATTAGGTGTTTGGATAAAGGCTATATTTTTGGCTATATTTTGTTGTATTTCCTTCTTTTGTTATGTTATGCTTTATTTTGTGACGTAATATTAGGGTTTGTTTCTGTATTTTTGTTTTGAATATCTACTGTAAGTTGTTTAATTTATAAATGTGATCACATGATCCGGTAGTGTACAAAAAGGAGTAACTTTTTGTGATTAGCACTGTCTGATGAAAACCCTTGTACTTGAAACGTTACACACCTTTTATCAGCCTTTACATTTAATAAATTGCCAGTTTTGGAGCTTTGGGTTTTTGCCACTTTTTTGACTATATATTTTTGAACTGAAAACAGGAGTAATGATCCTAAAAAAACAGCTATAACAGTAGCTAAATAACTTTTATAGTCTAATAAAATGTTCTTTAAATCACAATATACTGCACAACTGTTTGACCATGTTTTGGTTAAATTAAATAAAAAAACAAATAAATAATTAATAAAAATAATTAACAGTGGAAGTCAGAATTATTAGCCCCCCTGTTTATTTTTTTCCCCAATATCTGTTTAACAGGGGGACAATTTTTTTTCGACACATTTCTAAACATAACAGTTTTAATAACTTATTTCTAATAACTGATTTATTTCATTGACATTTCTTGACAGCTTAAAGTGACATTTAAAGGCTTAACTAGGTTAATTAGGTCAACTAGGCAGGTTAGGGTAATTAGGCAAGTTATTGTAAATTATTGGTTTGTTCTGTAGACTATCGAAGAAAAAAAATTGCTAAACGGGGCAAATAATTTTGACTCTAAAATTTTTTATTTTTTTAATTAAAACTTGCTTTTATTTGAGCCAAAATAAAACAAATAAGACTTTCTCCAGATGAAAGTTTTATTTGTAAAATACTGTGAAAATTTCCTTGAACTGTTAAACATCTTTTGGGAAAAGATATAGCAGATATTCAAAGGTGAAAAAAAATGGCAAAGGTGGGCGAATAATTCTGCCTTCATCTGTAAATAAATAAATAAATAAATCCAATTTTGGTGAATAAAAAATCTCTTTAAAATATAATTTAAAAAATCCTACTGGCTCTCTAAATAAATAAATCCCAGCCTCTTTAAAATTAAGTCAAATTTCCCAACATAACTGGTACAAAAGTTGCTAATTCCTCTAGACAGCAGATAATTGAGACACATATTGCATGTTTTGACTGTACACTCCATGTGCTGTGACATTACATACAACCGTTATCCCACAATGCACTCACCAGCACCTAACTAACAGCACAAGACATTGTCAAAGCACTCATTTGAGCCTAATAGGCCATGTGCCAAAGAGCACAGGCAGAAATTCACATCTTCTGGCTGCTAATGTGTGCTTAATGAATGAGCGAAACCAACCAACTGCTGGAACCCAAGAATGTGTGTGTGTGCCTGTGTGTGTGTGAATGTAATTGTATTGCTCTGTGGGTGTACAGCAGACACATCTGGTGCCAGTGACATATGGACATTAATCAGCACCATTACCACTTTATCCAGCCGCTCTGAAGTGACTCCTCAGGTAACACGTTCACTCACCTCCAGCTCGGCTGCTAGTTTTTCATCATCAGCTTCCTCTCGTTCTCCGCCAGCGATGGTTGGAGGGGTGGAGGCTGGTCGAGGGGCTTCAGATATACTTCTGCGCAGCTTCACGTGCGGCTTCTGGGACTCGGCCTCCTCTGATTCAGATTTCTGTTAATATGCAGAAAGAGAAGTAAACCTTAAGGTGTCAATTCCAGTTCCTGGAGGGCCGCAGCTCTGCACAGTTTAGTTACAACTCTAATTAAACACACCTGATCAAACTAATTGAGTCATTCAGGCTTTTTTAAAACCTATAGATAAGTGTGTTAGAGCAGGGTTGAAACTAAACTGTGCAGAGCTGCGGCCCACCAGGAACTGGATTTAACAACTGTGTGGCTTAAAACAAGATTATAAATAAAATGGATAACAAATAAAGAGGCATAACCCAAACTCTAATCCTACTTTAAAGTTTTTTTTTGGAAGAAAATGTATGTACTTTGGTTAATTACTCAACATACTTTATACACTGCAAAACCCTCTGAGTAAAGTTTACTCAGTTCAGAGAGTATGTGTTCCCTCTTTAAATAAGGGCAAACAGGTTCGTTATAAGTAAAGCTGCTATTTGTGGAGTTGCTTAATGATCCTCTTTTGAGATTTTGAGAGATTCAATGTATTACATTTCATCTAAGGCTTTGATTTAAGTCAGTTGTAGTTTTGCGTTTCTCTTTTGTGTTTCTGGTTATTAAGAGCACGTGTTCAACAGCAGTGCTCAATCATCACCAAATTAATCCTTTCATCATCTCATTAAGTTGAATAACTTTAACTCAGTTTAGAGAGAGAGAGACCAAATACTATTTAAACTGAGTACATTTTACTGTTTAAATAAACAGTGTCCCTATAAATATATTATAAATTACAAACAAAGCCACATTTTAAAAAATTATTTCTTATTGCTTTTAAGTAGGTAAAAGTTTGACATCAACCACATGTGGACAGTCAATAAATTAATCAAAATAGTTTATTTATGAAATATTTTGAAATTTAAAGTATTTATTTAATCAATCAACACCATATATAAAATAAAGTAAGATGAAGTAAAATAAAGTATATAAAATAAAGTAATCAATTTATTGAACAGAATAAATTGATAAATATTAATATATCTATCCAAACATATATCAAAATATTTTAACAGTAAGTAAATGTTATTCCTATTATATTCAAGAAAGGACATTTTCACAGTAAGTCTGATAATATTTTTTTCTTCTGGAGAAAGTCTTATTTGTTTTATTTCAGATAGAATAAAAGCAGTTTAAATTTTTTTAACACTATTTTAAGGTCAAAATTATTACCTCTTCAAGGTCAAGGTTAAGGTCAAGGTAAAATTTATTGTCTCCCATGGGAGAAATTTGTTTTACATAGACACCAACAAGACAACATGTAACCTACATACACAGTAAAATCTAATCCTAAAATACCTCCTAATTAAAATACGATTGCATTAAATAAGTAAATTTTTTTTTTAATAAAAATAAAATACAATGTGCCCCACTGCCCTCTGTTGTGCCAACCAATCCCATTATCTTAATCTTTGACCATCCTTCCTTACTTGCTCATTGATCAACTTAACTGAAAAAGGAACAAAAGAATGTTTATATCTATTGTACTTGCATAACGGGACCCTGTATCTTCTACCAGAATTCATCAGCTCATACTCCAAAGACAGCACATGTGAAGAACCGGATAAAATCTTGTTGGCTCGTTGGATTGAGCACAACTCAAAGATATCTTTCAGCGAACCAAGTGTCTTAATTCCCATGATTTTTCCTGCCACTCTCATCAGGTTATTTACTTGGGTTTTCATTTCTACTGTTACATTTCCAAATCAAACAATAATACCATATCTTAAGATAGACTCTGTTGTTGCTTTATAAAAGGTCAGCATTATGCTGCTACTCACTCCGAATAATCTTAGTTTACGTAAAAAGTGTAATCTCTTATGAATTCGTCCACAAAGACTTGAACCTAAGAGTGCCAATTAGGTTCATGATCAATATTCACTCCTAAATATTTATATGAATCAACCTGCTTAATGTCTTTATCATAAACTACAATAGAGCTCCTATCGCTCACTGAACTGGGGTCTATGATGGCCTCCTCCGTTTTCTTAACAGTAATTTCCAAATTGTGGTCATCACACCAGCTGACAAACCATTCTACAGCCGCTCTATATTCCATGATGCTGGACTGATCTTTTGTGAAAAGGACCAATAGCACAGTGTCATCGGAAAATTTAAGAATATATTGACTTGTCTGCTGCCTAACGCAGTTGTTGTTATAAAGGGTAAACAAAAATGGTGAACTTACACACCCTTGTAGCACCCCTTTACTGATTGTTGCTACATCAGATGACCCTAAAATAAATTTTACTTGCTGTGTCCTGTCTGTTAAAAAAGAATAACACCATTTAATAACAAAAGAGTGCACTTGCATTTTTACCAGCTTTTTCAAAAGTCTATGTGGTTGAATTGAATTAAATGCTGAACTGAAATCGATAAAAAGTAACCTAGCATAAGCAACTGGGCTCTCTAGATGCTTTAAAACAAGATGCGTTAAACTGCATCAATAGTGCCACGGTTACTTTTGTATGCAAATTGATACTGGTCTAAGTATGGCTCAACTTCCTTACGCAATTCTTTTATTATAATCTTCTCAAATGATTTCATGACATTTGATGTTAAGGCCACTGGCCTTTTTGATGGCCCCACTGGACAAGCCTTTTTTTGGGATTGGGATTATTACAGATTTTTTCCAGAGCTTTGGTATGTATCAACTAAGAGTTGAAACAGGCGATGTCAGGCAGGTGTAAGGTCCTCAAGCTCCTCAGCAAATGTTTAAGCTATATTTTTCCAGTAGTCTACAGAACAAACCATGATTATACAATAACTTGCCTAATTACCCTAACCTGCCTAGTTAACCTAATTAACTTAGTTAAGCATTTAAATGTCACTTTAAGCTGTATAGAAGTGTCTTAAAAATATCTAGTAAAATATTATTTACTGTCATTATGAGAAAGATAAAATAAATCAGTTAAATGAGTCCCTCCAATAAACAGAAGTTAGGGAAGAAGGAGGTCAATGTAATTGATACATTGATATATCTGTGCAGATACTTAATATAAAATATTTCCAATTGTAAATGTAACGTTTGATTGAATGACTGATTGTTTTTCAAAGAAGTTTTTTAAGATGAATTTAATTTCAGCAAATAATAACTAAAAGGCTTCAGAAGAGCACAATATGTCCCATTGCAAAATAATGACCAAATCTTAATTAAAAGTAAACACAAGGGAAATTATCACATCGACACAACTAAGTCTTCCTCGATCAATCTCAAATTCACCAGTGACCAACAGGTGATTTATCACTATAGGAACAGCCGAGATGATAAAGAAAACATCAGCCATGAATTACACACACACAAACGCAGGCCGCTTTTATGAGATGCCTGACATTTCAGAGACCCTGCACTCAAATAAAGGTGATCTAGTGTTTTTCTGTATCCTCAGATTTAGCTTGCAGGAACAGCTTGCATCTAAAATTTTGGGCAAGTTTGCATGCATAAATAAACACACACGAAACTGTGTGTCGTAGACAGAGGTTGTGTTAAATGAAATTTTAAAAAAAGAATAACATTTGCTGTGATGGCATTTTTTAGGGCAACACAGTGGTACAGTGGTTAGCACTGTCGCCTCACAGCAAGAAGGTCGCTGGTTCAAGTCCCGGCTGGGTCAGTTGGCATTTCTGTGTGGAGTTTGCATGTTCTCCTTTTGTTTGCATGGGTTTCCTTCGTGTGGTGCAGTTTCCCCCACAGTCCAAAGACATGCGTTCAAGGTGAATTGAATAAACTACAGCAGTCATAGTGTATGTGTGTGCATGTGAAAGTGTATGGGTGTTTCCCAGTACTGCGTTGCAGCTGGAAGGGCATGGACTGTGTTAAATATATTTTAGATAAGTTGGTGGTTAATTTCGCTGTGGCGACCCCTAATTAATAAAGGGACTAGGCCAAAGGAAAATGAATGAATGTGATGGCATTTTACAGTTTTTTTCTCACTATTATAATTTTTTTTAAAATAGTTTAATTTAACAACAAGCAATAATACAATTCTAGACTAAACGAGTCTGTCAGAGACTACATGGTAAACTTGACAACACAAAACAGAAATTGAAATTTCTTTCACTTTCAAATTTGCTATAAAGTGCACATTACCATGTGTGAAAAGTAACTTGCCATGAAGGATACTGTTTTTGTTTTTGTTTTTTATGATCAGGCTGCGATGTCAAGATAGCAATGCTATAGATCAAATATTGTGTCTGCCTGAAACTCTGGCAAGATTTTTTCTTTACAAAATCATAATATAATCATCACATAGCGGTGAGTAGTTTATCAATTGACAGTGTAAAGTCATAAAGGTAAGAAAGAAAGAGTTTTGTTTAGTATAATTGTATATAGTAATATGACTTTTGTTCATCTTTTGTTCAGAATATATCCGGCATTTATTGTTTAAATGCACTTTCTATAATAGAGTTGCTGTTCTCTTCATAAACAAATGTACAATCTATTCTAGTGCCAACTCAACAACCTGATTTCACCAAGGACATGTTACTGAATTAACTTCTATGTTGATCCTGGAACAACATTCTAATCAGCCAATCAGAATCAAGGGTTATGTTTATTGTTTATGTTAGAATTAGGCTTATGGTTAGAATTATGCACATCTACATGAGTGTCATCCAACTATTATTCCCCTCTGATTTTAGGAATAATTTAGAATTATGGATGGGTTTAGGGGTAGGGAATAGGTATGGATTACATTTGTCTACAAAAATGATGTTCCAGGATCAACATAGATGTTAAACCAGGATTACATCGAACTTGGCAAAATCATTACATGCATAGCCAACTTATCTTCTAAGCTCATAACTAAAAATGAAAATGTGAACAGAAATGATCATGTTTTAAAGTGTATATGATGCCATAATATTTTGCACAGTATTAAGTGTACAAGGTAGTAGTTTGTTCAGTATTAAAGTGCAATTTAAAAGCTTAACTAGGTTAAGTTAATTAGACAAGTCATTGTACAACAGAGGTTTATTCTGTAGCCAACTGAAAAAATAAATCTTAAGGAGGCTAATAATATTGACCCTTTTATTAATAAATGCTTTTATTCCAGTATAACTTAGACATGTGTATTTCCAGACAAACAAATATTATAGGAAATACTTTGAAAATCTCATTGGTCTTTTAATTACTTGGGAAATATTAGAAAAATATATTTTAGTGAAGGACTAATATTTTTACAGGCCTGTCCATGATGACTAAAGGTTATTGCACACTGAATCCAATTTTTTCATTTGTAATTTTCACACGTTAAAAAATAAATTCGACCTAACATTATTTGAATCGTTTTGACACACTGCCTCCAAAACTTTCATCCATCATAAAAAAAAAAAAAATCTAACCAGGTAAAATGTTTTCCTGCTTTTCGCATCTGAAAAGTGTTTTAGCAGTTCAGAGTCCTCATTCAAGTGAAAAGCTTATGCAGAATGCCGTCATTTTAGCTACAGATAACTTTATGACAAACACAGTGCATAAAATAAAGACAGAATCTGGTGGACAGTTGAGAACTTCTATTAAGTGACTGGCGCACCTCTCCCTTGCTGCTTCTTGGTGTGTGTCTGTATGAGTCTATATATTTGACGCACTGCACATAGACATTATAATAAAAAGCATGGTCCTCTTTCGGTCTATTGGTTCGACACAACAACGCAGCCACCATCTATTATAATGTCTATGGATACTGTCAGTCTCTGTTCAGGATTTGTTTACGTACGTGAATGTGTGAGATATCACAAGCAATGTATCACATTTCAAATGACTTCCTGAAATACACTTTGCATTTGCGGACAATCCAGTTCAGCTCTTTGATAATGAGCTGAACTCTCCTTCCTCTATATGCGGTATTGGATAAACACATTAATATGTAGTCTATTCCTCTTTCTTTTTTTACTTTGGAGAAGAGAGGAGAACAAAGAATCAAAGAATCTACTTAAATTGACTCCGAAATGTTTTGCGTTTTTTCGTAATGGATTAATTAATACAGATCGGACTTAATACAAAATGCGTAATAAAAAACGCATATAAAATTTCAGACTTCAGTGTGCAAAGACCTTAAGTCACAACCTTTGGTCATAGTGTTTGGAAATGTTACCTTTATACTCTTTCCAGGGATGATTATCTCTCCGCTACGTGTAGTCAGCCCCGGCGAGGAGGGGAAGCTACGGCGGGGCGGTGGAGGAGGAGGTGATTTTGAAGGCTTCTCTGTTCGATATCTTGCCACCGTCAGTTCATCTGAGCCTCGTCTAGATCCGCTATCTTTACTGTTGAGTTTATGCTGAGGTTTGTTAGGCCTGTGTTCAGGTGTGGCATTGGTGCTGGATGGACTTGGATTCTGGTTTTGGTTTGGGTTCTGGTTCTGGTTCTGATTCTGGTTCTGAGCAGGTTTGATCTGCTTGGCGGCAAAGTCCAAGTCAGGAATGGCCTTCATGAGCTCTGCCTGAGTCTCCTCCAACAGTCGATTGATGTCCTGAGCGCTGTACTGTGTCAGACTGGCCCTCTTCTCTTCCCAATCACGCTCCGCTGCCTGAGAAGACACCATTTACAGGGGCATTATTTCAATTTTGTTACATACATTTTATGAATTCCATTTAAAGGTGTCATGAGCTGGGAAATTAAATTCCTCTGATGTTTTTACCTATAAACTGTTGCTGTATTATGTAAATATCTGGTAAGATTCAGAGTTCAAAACTTTCTTATACAGTAGGTCTAAAAATTTACATTGGCCAATCTTCCAAAACGACAGGTTGTGAATCTGCCTTATAATTGTGTAATAGTTAAACTCCGCCTCCACAGACGATCACCCGATGCTACACCTTCATCAGTCTGTTTAGCTCCGCCCACTAAACCAAATGATTAAGATGTTAGGTAGACAACTGGACACTGACACTTTACATTTCCTTTCATCTCAGCCCAGAATTAAGAAAAAGTGAATGAACTTTATTTTTTTAAAGCTCCAGACTTTGTCAGCTAGAAATTGATCCCTTGATCTGTTTACAAACAAGGCACAATTAAATGCTGCTTTTTATTTATTTTTTTTTTTTTAGAAATTAAGACAATGCTGTTTTTATTATATTATGTGACTTTTCAGAATTTCTGAACGTTCAAGCTAGGGCTTAGTTAAGAAAATTATGTTATAATTATATAGACCATTTTCACATTTCTGGGTTTCTCAGTATTGGAAGTCATCATAGTTAGGAAAATTATGAGCGCCATAAATGGGAGAGTGTAATAATCTTTATAACAACTATTTCTGTTATAAAGACTTTCAGAAAAAGAAAAAAAAAATGTATGAGACTGATGATGACAGCCAGAGTAGAAAATAACATCAAATTTACTGTCCTGTCCCATAGACGCTGCATTAGAAACGCCTTAGTTTTTTGTTATTTGAAGCAAAGATGATATTCTAAATACATAAATACATACATTTAGATAAAAAAATCTAAATATTAAAAACTTTCAAGGATTTAGGATGCTGATGACCGTTAAACGTGTTATGACAGTCTTGTGAAAAGGGTCCATTATGTCAGCAAAAAAAATTAATAAATGAAGGTTTACTTTAAATCCCTGTCAGCATTCAGCAAGGCTAATGTTGGCTGGATTAATAAAAACAAATCCAGCAAATGTAATATTATTTTTAAAGTTATGTTGAAGCCAGCTTTGCTTTATTCAGAATAACAAAACTCTTACTATTGAATAGGAAGCTCTGCACGGTTTTGCTCCAACCCTGATCAAACACAGCTGATCCAAATAATCGAGGTGTTCAAAAGAGACATAAAGACCTTCATTAGTTGGATCAGCTGTGTTTGATGAGGGTTAGAGCAAAACTCTGCAGAGCTGCGGCTTTTCAGGAATTGAGTTTGAGACATATGCCTTAGATACTTAATAACATGATGATTAGTGTCATCATCAGACTTGCCCTTCACACTTTCAAACAAAATTACTCATTTAAAAAAAGATGTTATGCTATTATATATATTTATTCAATGGATACTAGAAAACAACATATTGTAGCTGCTTGGTAATTTCTGCTTGGTAATTTCCATTGAAACAGGGAAACAATGAAATCTCTATCCTCACCAGTCTGACTTCCACAGATGAGGCTTTCTCAGACCCTCCTCTTCCTCCGAGCTCCTCCAGACCCCGGGTCTTCAGTGAGCCCACCATGACCCCATGAGAGTCCTTCTCTCGCTGTGCATGGGACGAGTTAGAGTGGCCATGACCTTGCCCTGGGTGAGGGCTCCAGTTAGCCAAGCTGCTCTCATTGAGGCTCAGCGGTGGGCTGGTTGGAATGTCAAAGTCTGTGTTCTTTCTGTACTCGTCCCCTCCTCCAAGTTTAGCAGAGGGGCTGGAAAACTCATCCTGGCTTTTCCACACTCCCTCATTCACCTGCCTGATTCAAGCATCACAATGCACCCAAGGTGATGGAGATTAAAATACATTTGAGACAGTCAAATCACAAGGATAGACATAGAATGATTAAATTACAGCACTCTGTGATTCTTTCCCAATACACCTACGCCCTAAAAACATTTACTCTCATTGTGAAGAAAGTGTACATACTTCTGAGTGTGTAACAGAAGAGTAGGTGAGCTTTGGTGAATTGTTTGGTTCAGGCACGTGCACACATAGGGCTCAACCTGTGCAGTGCACATGCCCTTTTTAGTCTTGGATAGAAAGTGCCCTTCAAAAATGATCAAAAGTGCCCCCGCGACGGGCACACCCTCGGTCCAGCCCTTCAGTAGGCGCGTGACAACACCGCTCTTGAGTATGCGCGCAACAAAAACAACCACCCCCCCACTCTTCAAAAAATTTATCCTGCACATGCCCTTTGGACGGTCTCTGAACGGGCCTGGTTTGGTTACTTAGTTACAAGCCCTGTAAGTCATCTTGTCACAGCACCACAGCCCTTTTATAGTGAATTTTTTATCATATTGGAAATGAAGTAGCATGTAAATCTGCCATTGATGGGTCTTTCATGCAGAAAAATATTGTAAATACATGCTTCAGCACACACTTATGTGAAACTGCAAAAACACTGGAGCTTAGAGAGAGTGACCATTGGGTTATTGATCACCTCCCTGACTAAGGCCCTTCTTCCCCGATCACTCAGCTTAGATGGCTGGCCTGCTCTAGGAAAAGTACTGGTGGTTCCAAACATCTTCCACTTACAGATGAAGAAGGCCTCTGTGCTCATTGGAACTTTCAGAGCAGCAGAAGTTTTCTGTAACCTTCCCCAGCCTTGTGCCTTGAGACAATCCTGTCTCAGAGGACTACGGACAATTCCTTTGTCTTCATGCTTGGTTTGTGCTTTGGCATGCACTGTCAACCCTGTGACTTTATACAGATAAATTAAATCAAGTCCAATCAACTGAATTTACCACATCAGTGGTGATCAGTGCAAACAGAATGTACCTGAGCTCATTTTAGAGCTTCATGGCACAGGCTGTGAATACTTATGTACATGTGATTTTTCAGGTTTTTTATTTTTAATAAATTTGCAACAATTTCAAAAAAATTATGGGGTCATTATGGGGTATTGTGTGTAGAATTTTGAGAAATAAATTAATTTAATCCATTTTGGAATAAGGTTGTAACATACAAAACTGCAGTTCCTAGGTAAAATGAATGCTATTGATCAGTATGACAAAAAAAGTTCATTTTCACACTATAGATATCGACAGTAATTTGTGACCAACAATGAAGGACTATTTTTTGCTGCAGTTCTTTGCACAACACCAAATTAATACCACAAAACAATTTAACGGTGTCTATGATTAGTAATCAAAAATGTTTGCTCGGTAGTTTACATTGTATGGTGCTGTACTTGTGATGCAGAGCACTTGGGTTGGAATACAGTGAAGCACACGGGTCTAAAATAAAGATAAAAGCAGTGTAAAATGTTGTTTTTGGCACTATGTTATGTTTGTATTTGGCAGTATATGTGTGGGTTTAGTTCAGCTGTTCATCTGCATGACCAGCCCCTTCTCATTAAGGTGTACAGGGACATGCATCTGAAATGTGCAACAAAACTTATACCTAATTAAAATATTTCAGATTCGCATAATTGTACACAGCGCCCCCAAGGGAATTTCCCATCAGAAATATACAACAAAATGTACCATAAGTAACTTATTTCAGATTTACAGAAATGTAGGCTGAGGCACACTTTTACAATCTGGGTTGCTTTATAAAGATCACAATAATGTTGCAGATGAAATATTTAATGCAGATAACATACACATAAATACTATTCATTTAGTTAATAAGTATATGATTATTTAATAATCAGTACATTTTCATTCTTGTGAATGTTTGTAGTTTAAAAAAACTTTTACCAGTTTGTAGTACTAATTGAAACAATGCATTGTTGGTAATAGTAGCTGCTATATTGTAATATTAGTTACACAGATCTGCATTTTCAATCTTCTTCCTAAAGTATTAGATCAGAGGTGGCCAAACTCAGTTCTGGAGGGCCGGTCTCCTGCATAGTTTAGTTACAAGCTCAATCAGACACACCTGGGCTAGCTAATCAACCTTCTAAAGGCTTGCAAGAAATGTCTTGGCAGGTGTGTTGAGGCAGGTTAGAGCTACACTCTGTAGGACACTGGCCCTCCAGGACCAAGTTTCGGCACCCCTGTATTAGATCATCCAGGTAGCTTATGTATTCTCATTTGAACATTTTTTAACAATTTGTAACAGACTAATTCCTCTTTTGAATACCATTCAGGACGAACTGTATTAGAAATGAGAAGCAGCGTTTGTCTACCTTCTTAGTGTGGTGAGAGTGTCAGTGATGGATTTGCAGCGTTTCAACAAGGCGTCCAGCCTGTGAGGCTCCTCTTTCAGGAATTTCACCGCTTCCACTTCCACTCGTAACACCACCCGCATTTTACTCTGGAGCCCAGGGAACTGATCTGAAGAGGGAAACAGACAGGTGGAGAAGTGAACAAGCATCTCTGACTCTATTCTGTAATGAAACAGAGCCGAGTTTCGTGAAGTGTCTGACTGTGAAGGACAGAAAGACTCACTCTTTAGCTCCGTCAGAGTCTCTCCCAGTTTCCTTAGCATTGAGCTCTTCTCCTCCAGCTCCTGCACGGTCACATGTCTGTGATTGACTGAAATCTCCTTCTGAATTTCCTCCACTGACTTTTCCAGATCACTGTCAACACGGACATCCTCTCATTAGCTTTATTGCAAGTATTGATTATTTTAGAAAGAGCAAAACCCTGTATGGACTGGAAGAAATGTGTTTTTTTCTATTGCAATCATTCAATATTTTTAAATCAAGGCAATTTACTCAGAAAGGAAGATATTAAGGGCCAAATTTACAATCCCATAAAAGCACAGATGGGAGTGTAAATTTTTGTAGGTGATCTAATGACAATGTGCAAATTAAAAAACACAGACGCAGCAGATCATTTCCATAAAGACCAAAAAAATATACTGTACCAGGAGCAGAGCAAATTCAAAACAACGTGGCTTGATGATCAATATATTGGGACAAATGCTGTGAGCAAACACAAGTGGAGAAAACTCTCTCTTTTTTTGTACAAAACACTTTTCATTCCTTTTTTTTCATAGGATTGTGTGCTTACGTTAGATTAACAACACATATTGATTTTATAACACCAGGTTAAACTTTCTGACACCATTATGCAATCAAATACATTAATTCATTCATTCATTCATTCATTTTCTTTTCAGCTTAGTCCCTTTATTAATCTGGGGTCGCCACAGCAGAATGAACCGCCAACATATCCAGCACGTTTTACGCAGCGGATGCCCTCAATCAAATACATTAAAAAGAAATACAGGCCACAACTGAATATTGAGGATGATCTCTGAGTGACTTGAAAATTAAACCCAAATTGGACTTGTGCTGAAAACATTGTGTCCACCAGTCTCTTTATGTGAGGTTAATAATAAATTAAACAAATGAATAAATGATTATATAAATTATAGCCTTTGCTTGTTAGACTGTTGCAATTTTTCTGTGTTGTCAATATGATCATGTTTATAATGGCATATTGTTGTGAGAGAAAATTTGTATATTTTTAACCACCCTCCAAGGAATGTGGAGGTCACGAGTCACTGGCATTAATATTTTAGGGGATCGCGAACTGAAAACTTTGGGAACCCCTGATATAACGGAACCTAAGCAAGAACTGAATTCATTTTGATAGTTTTTATATTGTATTTGCTTTGCATTTGTATAATATCTTTGATGTAAGAATGTTTAGATATTTTTACACCAAGTAATTGCGACCATAAACCTGCAAAAGCCATTTACTTTGGTTCAGTTATATCACTTTAAAGAGAGTGAAATGAGCCTACTAATCGCCATAAAAGGTAAAGTAGGAGTCTGAGAAAAACTATTGAATTTAGAATTGAATGACAGATGGTACAGATGGCTTTTGCATCTAAACACTTAAAATGTTTTTGTTTTATTATTTCAGTAATTAATTTTAAAGTGTCTCAGTTTCGTTACACAGTAGGAAATCTCGGACTTTTTGAAGTCTATGACATTTGAAAGTTTAAAAATACATAGTGAGTTGAGTGTGAAAATCCTCCAGCCCACCTCTCCAGCGTCAACATGCATTTGAATAAGTGTCAGTGCAGCAGGGTGTATTAGCACTAAACGACTGAGACACAGTCTGAGTGTTTACACTCAAAATCCAATTTAACCACGTCAAATAAATCCACCCCCCACAAAACGGTTTGTTACAAACAGCATCCCGTTAATAATTGAATCACATCAACTGGCTGTTAGCTATACTTAATAACTGCTATCAATTAAAAGCAACACGACTGATCTGGCAGCAACTTGAAGAGGCGGATTTAGTCACCCCGCTGCTTTTAATTGGAACAAAATAAATCAATGAGATGCTGTCCGTTGCTTGAACAAGCTAGCATTGAGGTGTGGGTCTGCGGCTCCTTAACTGAGACCGTGTTTATACCTCATTGTTATGCATTTATTCGCTTTCAGGTGTGAGTTGAGCGCAATAAAAATAGCAGGGAAATAATTTTTGCCCATTATGCAGCAATGTCACCATGCCAGCGCCTCAGACTGCATTATCAGCAGATTACGAGCTCATATTGTGTGTGAGTGTGTGTGTATGAGACGCACTGCAGCTGCTGTATGATGAGTTCCTCCTCGTTCAGGTACTTGAGTCTCTCCTCTTCCACTAGAAGGCGCTGTCTCTGGAGAGGGTCTTCCTGTTTCCTCAGTGCATCAGACAGACGCAGACTCAGCTCAGTCTCGGTTCTCTTCAGTAAACTCCGTATGGAGTCCTGGTTCTGCAACTACACACAAATACACAGAAGTTAGGAGTCGTACTTCAATGTGTTTGATAAAAGTGAGAGAGAATCTGAAAATGATAACTCTGTCATTATTTGCTTTATGAACTTCTTAAAACTCAATGAGGGTCACAACAGCATATGGATAAATCTAGATTTGTGGGTATTTTTGTTTCCTTTAGATAAACTTTCCATTATTTTCAAAAACAAAAACTTAAGTGAGACAGTTTTGAAAAAGAGCACAAATAAAGTTCTCTCAAACAAAGTTTGTAGGTGTATTGAAGGACAATTTGTCTTAACTTGAAGTCCCCAAGAAACCAAAACAATTAATTTGTGCATGTCCTTAAGAAAAAAAACAACAGTTTTCTCTCCTAATCTTTAATTGAAATCTGAAACTTCCTGTTTTTGTTTTTTCAGTTAAACTGTCAAATTACATATATCTTAGCAGTTGGGCGTGGCTAACATCTTAAACCACGCTGTTGTTGTTTTGACAACAAACAGAAATGATGATGAGGAGATGTCTGTTAAGTTGTGATACTGTAACTCTCCTAAAAATCACTTTTCACGATTTTTCAGAATGAAATGCCTTCTTTACTACATCTTTACTACATTTAGCTTGCAGTAGAAAAATAAGCCACGTCCACTGTTTTATTAATTAATATTTAATTTCTTTAGGAACTGCACCACAATCTGAAAAAAATTATGGTCTCAGCTTTCGGTTCATGGGGACTTTAAAAACTCTCTGCCTTCAGAATCTTATATTCAGCTTTTCAATATCATAAAATAATACATTTACTCTAATAAGTTAAAGGTTCGGTAGGTGATTGTCTTCAGAAACATTTTGTGTTGTGCTGGTTGAAAGTCTCCTCACATTCCAATAGTAATGACTTAAGTAAGGGATCTAAATGTACTTATATGTTTGTTTGTTTTTTGCTGGGTAAGGCATAACCCTAAAAAATGTTTTAGTCCAATTATAGTGTTGGGCCAACATCTCCCATAATTCTGATAAGAAGCCCAAACTGTCTGTCAGCAAATGTAGATTTGGGCTTCTGCGCATATCTGTTTACGCAGATCCACCATTAACATGTGCATGCGTAGATGTGCGTCGTGCATTCATGCGTATACATGGAGACACATGAGATCACAGCAGCAAAAACAAATGCTGAATCAAAACTTTTAAAAATCCTGAGTCAATATTAGAGTTACTTTTGCACACTGGATGAAGGATGACACAAGTGTATTTTTTTTAGACAGGTTATGTTGTGTTTTAAAGTATTTTAGTCACGCGAAGCTTATATAAATTTTGTTGTTATGAATGGGTTATATGCACTGAAGTGTTGTTCAGCTACTGAAATGTTCCAGTGAAAGATCGATGTGACTATTTTCAGTTTTATAAGAGACATTCTACAGCATCAATAATATAGAATTTTATTTAGTTTAACAACAAAGCATAAAAAATTGAAGATAGCCGGTTTTGGCAGATCACCTACTGCACCTTTAATTAAATATTTGAATGAAACCTCTATAGTTTATATTCTTTGTAATTTTGGTAATAAAATGGATTTTGTGTCTGTTCCTAAGTTCTGGTCAATTAGTTACAGCAATCATAAAAATACATAACAATCTGTAAAGTACCAACAGAAAATGTGATTTCACTTCCTCTGGAAGGAAACTCTAGAAGGGACACTGCAAAAAATGCTTTTCTTACTTAGATTATTTTTCTAGTCCAAATATCCAAAAGCTCTTAAATCAAGAAGCATTTTCTAGACAAGCAAAACATATTGGCTTGTTTTAAGAAATAATATGCCAAAATGAAGACTGGAAACAAGACAAAAAATCTAAGTAAGAAAAGGAACGTCAATAACTCTTCACATGTTCATTTGTTCAGCAATAGTACATTGGTTAAGTTAATGTGATATTTTATTGAATTTCACATTGAAAGCTGTAATATAAGGAAAAAATACATTAAATTCTATTGTAGATATGCCATGTGGTCAGGGGTGGACTGGCTGTAGGAATCACCGGGTCAATGTGGCATGCCACTGTGAACCTCCCACTGCCCAATCTCAACTCCCAGTTTGGCTAACCAAAGAGTTGCTAGTCTCCTTTTCAATCCACAAGAACAACAACAACAACAAAAACAACATAAGAAAGAAAGAAAGAAAGAAAGAAAGAAAGAAAGAAAGAAAGAAAGAAAGAAAGAAAGAAAGAAAGAAAGAAAATAGCCAGAGGTTTGAAATATTTTGGAGGATGAGTACATGATGACAGAATTTTTATATGCAGGATCCTTCCTATCTATTTCCTAGAACAACATTCCTACACACAGTTGTATTCCTAGTCGAGTAGGTAAAAGGCTAAGAGTAGCATTGCGGTCTTCACATGCTTTAGGTGTATCAGTGTGTGAGATTTTATAGGCTAAGCTGCTTGAAAGTTCAGCATTTTACAAAAGGTCATCTGTCACAATTTATCATGTGACATATATGTAACATTGACCTGCCTTTGACCATATGCAGCTGTCATCGTGAATGTGAAGGTATGATACCATATAGCTTGAGCTCATGTCTGCGCATCTAAATCTATATGCTCAACGTGCCCTTGATAGAGTTACTGATGGATCATCTCCATTTAATGTCTCTTGCATGTGCATCCATGTCCTTGAGATTCATTCATTCATTTACCTTCGGCTTATTCCCTTTATTTATCAGAGGTCGCCACAGTGGAATGAACCGCCAAACTATGTTTTACATATGTTAACAAATGTTTTGCACAGCGAATGCCCTTCCAGCCGCAACCCAGTACTGGAAAACATCCATACACAATCATTCACACACTACAGAAAATTTAGTTTATTCAGTTCACCTATATCGCATCTCTTTGGACTGTGGGGGAAACCGGAGCACCAGGAGGACACCCACACGAACACGGGGAGAACATGCAAACTCCACACAGAAATGCCGACTGGCCTAGCCGGGACTCGAACCAGCGACCTTCTTGCTGTGTGGCGACAATGCTAGCTACTGAGCCTCCATGCTGCCGTCCTTGATGATTCACCATGATTTTGTAATGTAAGCATTCTGAATACACTGTTTGTTTGCCCTCAGAGAAAAAAACAGGGTGGACTTTGTCACTTGCAGAGCAGTGATAATGAGAAAAGTGTGTGAAAGCGTGTTTTTGTACACGGTATGAGTGTGTGTACAATCCCGTTTTAGCGTCGTTTGGCGGTAGTTCATTCTCAAGCTGAATTATTTATAAGTCTCATGCATTATTCAACATATCCATGTCTCCTAGGTAACAGGACGAGGGCAGGGGCCGTGTCTCGAGCGCTGGCATTCAGGCAGGTAATTGTGGAACTCAGCAATCTGCAGTGGTCATGACACTGGCGGCTCGCTCTCCACACCAAAGCAATTGACATCAATCTGGGCATCTCCACGAGGAGCACTCGCAGACTGTCGAAACATCCCCCTACACTGACACCCATTTGCCTCTGGGCCTTCAAGAGCCACATGCACTTTAAAATTGAAGAAGAGTGTAATACATTCCTGTGATCCAAAAATGACATCCTAATGAGTTTAATCAATCATTTCTGATGTTTTTGCCCATATAAACATCTAAACATTTCTCAAAATGAGCTGAGCAGAGATGCAATGCTGTGATAATATTGAGTTTACATTCATTCATTAATTTTCTCTCAGCTTAGTCCCTTTATTCATCAGAGGTCGCCACAGTGGAATGAACCTCCAACTTATTCAGCATATGTTTTACACAGTAGATGCTCTTTCAGCTGCAACCCAGTACTGGGAAACATCCATACACACTCATTCACACGCATACACTATGGCCAATTTCAAGAGTTCACACTCAGCTGATGATTGATTATAAAGCTTGTTTATCAAACAAATAAATAGATACGGATTGCTATGAAAAGATAACTAAGCACATCTATGGTGCCTATGTGGATAAGTCAATTAACTTACTGTAAGTTGCATGTTTTTGGATGGTGGGAGGAAACCAGTGGCATGTAAACTCCACTCAGAAATCTCGACTGGCTTGGTAAGGACTAGAACCAGTGACGTTCTTGCTGAGAGGCAACAGTGCTAACCACTGGGCCACCATGCCAACCATCTGGAAGAGGAGTAGGGGTGGAAGGGGGGATTCTTCAAACTGAAGATGACTGTGGTGTGGAACCTAGGTTATTTATGATGACTTAGGAATCGTCTGATTGGTGAATCATAAATTGAATATTGCAGGACCAGTTGTGTTCAATCATAAGCACGTGATCATCTTGAAATTAGTTTATAAATAAACTTCACTTAGTTTATTCAATTCAGCTATGGAGCATGTCTTTGTACTGTGGGGGAAAACGGAGCACCCGGAGGAAACCCACACGAACACAGGTAGAACATGCAACCTCCACACAGAAATGCCAATTCACCCAGTCGGGACTCAAACCAGCGACCTTCTTGCTGCGAGTCGACAGTGCTAACCACTGAGCCATTGTTGCCATTAGGTGTTTAATATTGTTTAATTAAATATGGCAATATTTTATTGTTGCATTTTGTATAAGAGTACAGTACACTGAAATAACTGAATGAAATGAGCTGAAATAACAAAATTGTTAAGATTTTTGGGGGGCAACTTAATTGTTTTATGTTCAATTCACTTAAATGTGTTAACTCAATTGGGCGACGCTGTGGCGCAGGGGTTAGCATGTTTGCCTCACAGCAAGAAGGTGACTGGTTCGAGCCTCGCCTGGGTCAGTCGGCATTTCTGTGTGGAGTTCTCCCCGTCTTCATGTGGGTTTCCTCCTGGTGGTCCGGTTTCCCGCACAAGTCCAAAGACATGCAGTACAGGTGAATTGGGTATGCTTAAATTGACTGTAGTGTATGAGTGTGTGTGTGTGTGGATGTTTCCCAGTGATGGGTTGCAGCTGGAAGGGCCTTCCACTGCATAAAACATATGCAGAATAAATTGGTACAGTAGTTTCTTCTGCTGTGGCAACCCCAGAT